GAACAACACACAAAAAAAGCAGAGAAAAAAGCCAAATCTGAGACATTCCACACAGTACTCCAAAAATGGACTGGACAGAATGATTGGCACCTTTTCAAATTCTTCAGAAATAATTGTATTTCAAACATGTGATACTCTTTTAATTTGTAATTAAACTCACCTGTAGCAATTCACAGCTGCTGACAATATATAAATCATATAAAACACACAACCAGTTAATATGGAGAAATGTTGACTCAGCCATTTGTTGTGTGTCTGTGTGTACCACACTGAGCATGGTCAAAAGAAAAAAAGACAATGGAGTTGTGTGAGGATTTGAGAACCAAAATCTATGAAAGCATGGACAATCTCAAGGCTACAAGTCCATCTCCAGAGATCTTAATGTTCCTGTGTCCACTGTGTGCAACATTGTCAAGACGTTTACAGCCTATGTCTTTAAAGCTAATCTTCCCGGACGTGGATGATAGAGAAAAAATTATGAAAGATTGCAATGAAGGATTGTTCAAATAGAGGATAAAGAACCTCGATCAACTTCCAAACCAATTCAGGCTGACCTGCAGACGCAGGGTACAACAGTGTCTGTTGCCATCTGAATGAAAAGAGACGCCATGGTAGGAGACCCAGCAGGACCCCGCTGCTGACATAGAAACAAACCTTTCCTGAGGAAGCCAAAATCCTTCTGGGAGAATGTCCTGTGGACAGATGAGACTAAAATTAAGCTTTTTGGTAAAGCACCTCATGATTCTGTTTTCAGAAAAAGAAATGAGGCCCTCAAAGAAAAGAACACGGCCCCTGCAGTCTACAGTACTGATGTTTTGGGGCTACTTCAAGCACCGGATGTCTTGACTATGTGCATAACATGATGAAATCTGAAGACAACCAAAGAATGCTGGGGTGCAATGTAGGGCCCAGTGACAGAAAGCTGGGTCCTTTTAAAGCATACTTCAAAAAGCAACCAAAAGTGGTTGAAGACAAACAGCTGGAGAGTTCTGAAGTGGCCAGCAGTGAGTCCAGAAATCAGTCTAAATCAGCAGTTGGGAGAAGCAACCCATCAAATCTCAAAGCTGGAGCACCCATCAAATCTCAAAGACCTGGAGCAGTTGGCCAATAATTTTGTCCAGTCCAGTATTTGAGGTCTGTGTGGAATATCTCAGATTTGCGTTTTTTTCTCAGCTTTTTTTTGTTGTTGTTTGCAAACAAAAGAAATAAACATGAGAATTCCAAATCATTTGTAATTACAACACTTTTCTGGGAGAAGTAGTGCATTATGTGACAGACATGCAGGGGTGTCCGTATTTTTGGCCAAGACAAACACAGACAAATCGAAAGCTCCCTGATGGTAACATGACCTCCACAGGAGGTCTGTGGAGTAGCCCGGATTTAAACCCAGAACATTAAGCTAGCAATGCAGTTTAGCTCCAAGCCATTTTTCAAGCAATGATTTTCAGCTCTTAGCTGTACATAAAGAAATGCACTCTAGCTTCCAGCATTTCTAGTAATGCAGTGACTCCCGGCTGTCCATCCATGAAGCTCAGCATCAATTTTTCAGCAGGCAGCAATCCCACCACAATTGCGTTAGGAAGTGTATCTTCATGATAAGGTATGCAGTGGTGTAGACTCGAATGGTTAGGTGTCAGGGCATCAGTGATCTTCACTAATGACAGAAACATCTAGATGTGTTTCATGGTCAGTCCACATAAAAAGAAAGCCATGTGCTAAATAGCCCCAAATGCTTTTGACCATCAAACCCAGGACCAGCAGTGTGTCTGCTGCCTCCCGGTTCCTCTCCTCTGGATCTATAAATGAATAGCAGCTATCAATCATTGTCAGGGCCGTCCTTCTTGAGCCCAGACGGACGGGGGTGACCAATGTCACTGCATGTTACTGTCCAGCCCTCCCGCCTCCACTCCCGCTCACTCACATCAAACAGACCTGACAGGCCACCAGCTACAGACCAAAGGGGCACTGCAATGTCACCTTTTTAGATATTTGGGGGAGGGTGGGGAAGGGTAGGGGGGGTTTGACTTGTTGAGGGGACAGAATCAGCTTCCAGCATCCTGCTCTTTGTTTTGTTTGTAGATTGACAGCTGGGGTGCTTTTGTTGGGCAGTGAAGAGGACGTTGGCTGACAAATCTCTTGATTGCTGTGTAGCTCGGTATAACCTTCATTCACATCTGTCCCAGGTTTGTCCTGACTGATGTCCACACTCCAATTTCACTATCAAAGTTTTATTTAATCTATGATGAGCCATGCAACATATAGAAATTATACCACATCCCTCAAGAAGTCAATGAGCATCTTTATTTATATTTTGGGAAACACACTCTGTCTATTGTTCAAATGTCTATTGTCCAAAATTATTTTGTCCAATTAATTGTGTCTCGTTCACTCATTCACAACTTTACTTACTTACTTTACTTGACTGTCAATAGTGTCAGTGACAGATTGGTGCAGCGTCACTCTGCAGTCATTTTTGCATCTGTAAAATGCGACAAAATTCATTGAGGGATTGCTAGCAGAAATTTAGTGTACATGCCATCAACACTTTTTGTTCCTTTGTGGAATTTACGTGTACGTATAGTGCTCTCTAAAGTATAGTGATTTCGGACACAGCATATCTTACATTGTGAGCTGGTTGTCTTGTAAGAGGTGAAACTAGTAGCATGATGACTAAGAGTGATGTGAATGCTACATCAGAGCTTGTGTGGGGTTATATGAAAATAATGATTGAGGTTATAATAATAATGAGGTTCAGTACTAGTGAACAAGGCTAGTTTACTAACTGACCAAAGTAAACCAATGCGTGAGGGCTCCCAGATCTCAAGAAGCCCTGAGTTTACTGTGGGTCAGTTGGTTTTTGTTAATGGGATTACTTGATCATTTGTTTTCGGAATTTGCACAATATCAACTAAATCCTGCATTATTACGCCATCTTGTGGCCTAATTTTCAATGATGCTTACATGGGACCAGATTTACTAACACCCCAAATAAAGAGTACTTAATTGCATGTGCATTCTAAAATATTGCACATGTAATTGTAGTACCTGTTATAGGTGATCAACTAAGAATCATTGCGTAGATGACAACAGGTGCAAACACAATGGAGGTGGCAGTATTTAAATGAGGGTTTTAATGGTTTCTGCCATGGAGAGTCGGGAGGCAAAGCAGCCACTGCGTAAAAACCTTGGTTTGTTTGGTTCAGTGCGTCCCGAGTATGTGGAAATTGTATGTACCTGCCCATCCTGCCTAAGATTGCACTAAGCACTTGGGAAACCCCCCATGAAAAACTGCTTTGGGAAACCCCAGCAGACACCGCTACAGTATGATGGAATGACCCAGATGTGAGGAAATACCAGCAGATCGCGCTTCATCCAGCCAGAGGGACCAATCACCGATCATCCGCAGCGGGCCCGGTTCTCCTGGCCATTTTTGAAAGACGTCCTTCTCCGTGCGCACCGTTAGTAGATCAGCTTACATGTTCATTTGCTGGTGATATCAAGTTTGCACACGTTTTTACTCACGCAAACCTTTAGTACAACTGTATAATTCATAATAAAGGTGGGTTTAATCAAATCAAAGCAACAAGGCGCAACACTGTCACAGTATATTAACATATCATTATATAGGATTTGTAAACATATTCACATGTAAATCCCAAATCCAAGAAAGTGGAAACATAGCAGGTGCCCCCTTCCCCTTTGTATCCCAGCAAAGCCTCCAGGTTTACATCTATTAAAGCCCCCAGCAACCCTGCAAAATGAAAAGAGTCATTCACCAATCCACCTGGAGCACCCTGTATGTATAACACACCATCAGGAAAGCAAGTGAAAATTTGTTAGAGTGGGGCAGATTAGAGTGGGGCTGTCACATCCACAGCTCATTCTGAGATGTTCAGAAAGCATTCTATTAGGGGCCACACCAGGGTCTGGGGCCACTGACACAGCAGTTAAATAGCATTAGAAATGGGAAGGGTTAATGGGTGTAGTGGGGCGACTGTTGGTTGGTATGACGGGTAACACAGTTCTGGACCTTGGTTACAATTGAATTGCAGATTTATTAAGGTGTGTGGCTTAACAAATAAATTGCCTATTAGCGGTCAATGCAATATCCTGTTTTATACACTAGTAGATTTGTCTAAAGCATAGAGTTTAGCTGTACAGCAACTCTACAGACTTGCTTTGAGTGGTTTCTAAAATGCCATTCACAAGGCTGAGCCCACTGGAAGAACAACTCAGTTAAGCTTTCACTACAGAGTCCACACATTTCTTGGAAGATTCTTTTTTAGTCTTGTAGTCTTGCACCTTGTTTACATACAGTGTAGTTTACATAAGTGTTTCAGCTCACTCACAATTGAACCTAAGAAGAGGGCTGCATAGATTCAGATTGGTGTGTACAGACATGAATGCATGACTATGCATGAACACAACATGAACATGACCCCAGACCTCAGAACTAACCTTCAGCCTCCAGAGTAGCCGTCACCTCCTGAAAGCTGACTGGAAACCTCTACTGTCCTTAACTTTCCCATGTCTGTTGAGTCAAAACTGGCAACCCTCCTGAAGGACCCAAAATGGAGTCAATGCTGGACACATAATGTAATAACTGACTAGCACTTTTTTTTGTTTGTTTTTTTTTTTTTTACATGTGATCACTTGTTTAGATAATAGGGTGCGCTTACATCAAAACTGACATTTATGAACAGCTTCACAAAACTTGTACCCATTGTAAATCGTGTGTTTTTAAATTTTGCAGAATTTAATATGTTTAAATAATTACAATTTATTATTTATTTAACGTAAACTTGCAGTTAACTTTGACCCTTGTTATAAAAGTGTGTAAAGCATTGCTTTATTGTTGCCACTTCATATTATCATTTGTTCCAATTACATTTTTGTGAGAGTCATGGCAAACTTTATTGTTGTTTTTCTGCCACGCTCTTATATTTGCCTTCTTTCTTTTTCTCTTTCTCCTCACTTGACGGGTAAATGGGTGTGTACAGATGCTGATCGAGCCCAGAAACACGGCATGGATGAGTTTATTTCAGCCAACCCCTGTAACTTCGACCACGGCTCACTGTTTGAGCTGGTGCAGCGCCTTACTCTAGACCACAGACTCAATGACTCCTACTCCTGCCTGGTAAGGAAAGGATTTATAACAATGTAATAGTCACTGTGTAACTGTCAATCCCGGTGGTGCACCTGGTTGTACACATGAGAAGAGACAGAAATATTTGTGTGAAGAATAAAAAAAAGGCTGCATACTCCTTCACCACCACACAGATGACCAATCGCTGCATAAAGAAGGGAGTTATTGGATTGTCATTTTAGAAAAGTGGTTGGATGCAGCCTGCTTCATTAGGGGTTTCAGCAACTTTCGACAATCTGTCAAGCACTTTGTTGGAAGCAGGCTGAGGACCGAATTCCCTGCTCAAACTTGGCTTTAGAATGTGCACATTTGTGAAGTTTAGCTCTAGTGTGAACACCAGGTCCATGCACGTTGAAATCGTTTCAACTTTAGCAGTCTGAGGTGTCACTCAAACACAGCACAGGTACACTCTCTGTCGTACATCTCTAACACAGCTGCTTCCAGTAAAGGCTGCACATCTGCTTTTTGTGGAGAAAACACAAATACTGCACAATAGTCCTGTGGCAAAGAATCACTTCATGTTCTGAACACACCTTAAGACAAACTGAGAACGCACTAAGGCGTCACTCACATTTAGAAGCGGTCAAAGACCCATATGGGTAAAGATATCGGTATTATGATGCAAACTGCACAGCTTGCAGTCTTGTATGACATCTGTTTGCCTCATCAGAGGAGTCACACTGAAGTGTTTGTGTGTCACCCACAGGGCTGGTTCAGTCCCGGTCAGGTGTTTGTCTTAGATGAGTATTGCGCTCGCTACGGCGTTCGAGGCTGCCATCGGCATTTATGTTACCTGAGTGATCTGCTGGAGAGGGCAGAGAACGGAGCTATGATCGACCCCACCCTGCTGCACTACAGCTACGCCTTCTGTGCCTCCCACGTCCATGGAAACAGGTACTAATCAAACCAATTTAAAATGATTGAAATAGAAAATATTTTTTTTCATTGTAAAAACTTGTTGGAGAAGGGAAATTATGACAAATGAATGACAAACAGCCCAGTCCTTATATACATGCACATGTGCAACGTGTGACCCCCCTCTGTTTTATATGCTTTATTCTTTATATGAGTTGTATGCTTCAGTTTGACTCCTCTTGCATGTCTATTGGTTTTTTACTTTGCATGTTGCTTGCAAGCTCACATTTCCTCTTTCTTTTGTCTTTTTATCCCTGTATAACATCTTAACCTTGTTCACTTTCACAAAATGACCTACCCTTCACTGTTCCCAAAACCTTGCACTTTCACACAACCACACCTAGTCAGCGTGTGTCTGAGTTGTTAAACTGGCCAGTATCTGAGGCCGAACTTGAACAAGCCCTTTTCCCCTCTACCCCTGAGCTCCCTGTCCAAACTGCTAAGAGAGAACTCAGAATCATTGAGTTCATGAAGAAAATGGACCCCAGGTCCCCAATTTTCTCAGGAATTAGAAGGTAAGTCATCTCATAGTCTGTGTTGTACGGTGTAACTAGGAGGGACTCCTAGTTAATGCGTGCCATCATTCCTATTGTTAACTGGACAAAATCACTGCTTAGATCTAGAAATGCAGCGACGTCGGCAGTCACAGTTTTCCAACATGAGCAGTCAGACTGTCAAACGTTTTGAAACAAATCGGGTTTAACCCAGTTATCAAAACCAATTAATGGAAGTTAAGCTAAAGTAAGCAATAAGTACAGAGTCACAGGAAGTAGCAAAAAAACTGAATGGCCTACACACTACACGTCTTGTGTATTAAGACGATTGAGTTTCTTCGATCATCATCTGTCATATGAAGTCATCTGATATGCATTCAGTTAAAGAAATAAAAAGTTTGCCCCCTGGTTCAGTAACAAAACCCTAAAGCCCTATGGAGCGCCTCTCCTGCTTGTGACAACGCTGTCAGCCCAAGTTGTTAGACCCAAAGGAGAATTAGTGTTAGTTTTGTCTGGTTTAGGAGTTTAGACTTTCGGCACCACAGTGCATGCATCAAGCTGCCGTCACTCTTCTATTTCCATTCAGTTCGGTTTGCAGGTTGGTAACTCAAGTTTATGTTTGTAAATTATAGCCTGCAATTCTTTTTTGCTCATTTTGCTCTGTGTACAAGGACGCAGTGAAAAAATGCAAATGCTTCAAATAACAACATGACGTTGATATTGTGGGCTTCTCAAATGATGATTGGAATAATCAACATTTAGGGTGTAGCCTAAAATATACCTTGTGCGTTGACTTAGAAAAACGGTTAGAATTTTGAGTACAACTATGTTTGAGATAGATGATTTTTACAGACAGCTGCCAAAGTGTTTCCTGTAGCTCTGGTATAAAACTAAATATGGTACAGTAGCATATTCTTAGACTTGCTTTTAGAGGAGCAGTTTTCAGTCACAGATAAAACGGAGTAATTTCCTGAAGGGTCTGTGGTTAGTGACACAGGAGTCATCTGGCCTTTATTCCAGTATGTACCCTGTTATCTAAGTTGTGGTATTTACCCCTTGTCTAATCTGCTGTGATGTGCTCGGACATCAAATCTGTCAACATCACAGTCGGTTGTCTGCGAATGAAGCGTAACAAAGATAGACGAGGGCCACTCTGGCGCTGAGGGCAAAGGTCAGAGAGGGCTGTCTGTCAGTGCCCCCCCCCCCCCCCCTCCCTCCAACTAACCCCATCCTCTTTCCATCTATCCGCCCATCCATCCTTCCCTTCTGTCCTGCTGACAAACAGTGACTGAGGACTGAGGCCTTTTCTGATCAGCATGGACAGATGGACAACACTTGCTCCAAGAGAAACAGAGAAAAAAAGGAAAGAGAGGGACAAATACTGTAGAAGATAAATATGAGATAAGGAGTTTGATTGAAATCTGTGGAGAGAGAAATGCGGAATATTATCAAACTTTTTTTCACAAAAAGAGGGTGAGCATACGCAAGCAGTAGTTTGGTTTAAACACGGCATCAAAAAGTTGTTTCCTGCTGCCAGAGGACAGAGTTCAGCACCTTTTATTATTTATATTCAAAATAAATACATAAACATGTAAATTCACAATTAAATGTAGATTTTTCTTTTCACAAAGTCCAAAAATAATGAGCCTTACATATCTACACATCCACACACATTAAACAGAGACCTGTGCTGCCCGTCCAGCCGGCTCGCCTGGAGGTCGAGGCATGACAGGTTGACAGGTTGTCATGTGTGACACCGGAATGTCTCCGCTGCCAACACGGCTGCGTGTGCCCCAGTGCACACACCTCCAGACCACCCCCCCACCCAAACAAACACACACAAACACCCCACCCCCACCCCTGCCTCCTAATAGCCTGCTGGCCCGGAGGTGTTGGTGCACCAAGTTCGACTCAATTGCCCGGTCGCCTGCTATAGTGTCAGGATTTGACTTCTGTCCAGCAAAATGTCGACTCCATTTAGATTGACTGTTTGTTAGGAAATGGCTTTAAAATAAACAAATAAAATATCAGCTGCTTTTTATTTGACATAAAATAGATCCATCCAATGCAATCCATGTATCATGTACTGTTGGAGTTGAATTAAATATTTTGTGTCAATCTAAAGACAATAGAAGACCATCCGTACACATGCAGGGGTGTGCAAACATGTTGTGATTTTTTAGGATTGATAAAGAAAATCCACAATAAGCTTATAGAAATGATCACTAAGTCAGTGTATAGAGCTCAATTTAAATGTTTTTCTTGTGGAAAATAACTTTTTAGCTCAAATATTTTTAGACTGATTTGCAGCCATTATTTTTATATATTTACTCTATAATTTATCAATATTTGACAACTATTATCTCAGCCTCAATCAGAGTCCAAGATGACATATTCAAATGTCATGTTTTGTCAACTAACAGTTCAAACCCCACATTCAGTTTAATGTTTAATAGGAAATAAAGACAGCCAGATATTCACATTTGAGAAAGTCAATTATCAAAATAGTTGATACATTTTCTGTCAATCAACTAATTGACTAATCAACTAATCCTTTCAGCTCTGGGTTGATTGAGGAGGATAGTAGTTTCCTACATATAATTAAAATTCAAATTGCAGGAGGATTTCTAAAGCAAACATGTTAAATGGTAATCTACCTTAAGGACTTGATGTGGTTCTCCACTGCATATAAAAGGAGATGTGAAAGTGTCACTGATGGCTCATTTGCTTGTTGTCGTCATTGGAGCTGTGAGGTCATGAGGCCAAGCAAACATGAGGAAGCTGCCAAGAAACAACGTGCGCTTGGAAGAAAATAAGAGAGAGAACCCTGCAGGACTTAATTAGTGTGAAATTTCCCTCTTTCATTTCTGTCACAATGTGAAAGGTGAGATGGCTTTTTTACTGTGCATTTCTCTAAAAATAATATCTCCAATTTTGGTGTCTATTGCGTATGATCACCAGCCACAAAAGAAAGGGTACAGCAAAACCAGCGGAAAGGCGTGTAAACTTATAAACTCAAGCTGCTGATTATCATACAAAAAATGTATTCAGGATCATTCATTATTATTTCATTAATACAAAGAACACCAGTTTGTTATCATTATTTATCAATTTTACATTCATTATTCGTAGTGTTTACACTGTTTATTGTCCTCTACAGACTGCTCTGATTTTCAAACATTAAAACTGGCACCTCTTACCATTTGTGCAACTCTTAAATTTAATACCATCCTGTAAGTACTGTGTCTACTTTACAAATAAAAAAAAATACAGTATTAATTTGCGTGATGAACTGCCAATCTAAAGAGTCAAAAACTTGAGCTCCATGCAGTGATCTCCTCCTCAGCTTCATTTCAGCAGCGGAGGCCTACAGGTGGCTGTGACACACTGACGGTGTCTGTGGAAATGTCCATGAAAAGTGAGGGGAGTCTGGATGAGATGATCGCTGATGCTGAGCAAACTAGTACCCCTTGAAATGAAACACAGCACTCATGGAGCAGTGCAGTATACACACACACACACACACACACACACACACACACACACACACTCTCACTGTCTGGTGAAATGACATGTCAAAGGGGGGAGGAGGAGTGTCATGTCTCCTGCTTCTCGTCATGCTGTCTTGGCCACCAGTCCAGCACCTCTTCTGTCACATGCACTCTGCTCACACTCCACCCAGACCCAACCATGTCACAAACGATAAACACATTGGAAACAAACACACCTCCTTGTAAAGCTGTAATTACTATGCCTTGACATAACAGGAAGAATATGACACAATAATGGCGTGAACCTCCTAATGTTCTGTGTAGGATGTCTTAATTACATGGATTAAAATTAGTGCTATTAAAGCCATATTATGTAAGATTTGGAGTGTAATATATTACCACAGCTGAACATGTGCATTTGTTTTGATTACATTACTTATGATCAAAAACTAACAAGTCAACAACTTTGCTAGCACAGCCAAACTTTAACAACAAGACAATAGCAATATTACTTAGTCCAACAGAAAGACTGCCAGCTTGGCGTCTGTCTTGCAGCCTTTTATTTTATAAAGCTCTGGCCTGCGTCCGGCAGCCTCTTGCTTGATCACTCTCTTTTCTCTTCTTTGCTTCCTCCGTAAACGTTCTCTTTGAAGAAAAGTTACATAATGTTGCACGAAACTTGGCTTGCATGCTAGCCAACAAAGCTAGACAGCAGCCGACGCAAGAGCACTTACGGTAACGTCACAAATGTCCGAGTGTGCTAATAAGTTACTAGTCTTACTAGTCCAACAGCAGGAAGGCCAGCTCAGCATCTGTCTTGCATCCTTTCAGCTCTTTTAGCTCACACCAACTAGCTAGCTACTTCTGATAGCTAGCTTGCTGAAGAGTCTTGTTGGTGTTTGATGTGGTGCGGTAAAGCTTTACCGTCGTTGTGATAAGTTTGTGACTCGATTTACTCGATTTATGCTTGGTTAAATAGGAGTAAGATACTTATAGCATATGTTTTGATGTGTAGCTCAGCGTGACACAAGAACGATGTTGCCTATCTGTTGTGATCAGGCCATATTTTAATTTTACAGTTTTTGCAGTTCACCTGTGAAGTCACTTGAGTGCCGGTGGACTATACGTGCACTTAAGTAATTGGAGTTAAATCCAGGTTATTTTTGTTTCACCATGTCTCATTACTAAATAGGAGACTGCTATAATTCCTGAATGCTTAGGCTTTATAGCTACTCCATAACCATAAATCTAATCTTAACCCTCACCCATGGTCACAAGTTTGGTCTCCTCCTGACTGCACCCCACCTCCTCCCTGATCTTTCTCAGAGAAGTCTGTGCGTCTCTGTGGTTATATCACAGTGTCTCAAAAAATTCATGTTATGTTAAATAACAGTCATTATAATTTTCATGCGTCCTGGTGCTGGGGGCACATGCTGTCATTTGCCTTGATTTGTGTGTTTTCTTATATCATGGTAAGAGTTTTGGGATGGTTAGGATTTCCAACTCTAAAGGCATGTTCACACTGGGGTATTTCTTTTGTACCAACCTGAGTTGGATTGCCCCCTATTACGTTCTATTGCTATGCCCTATTCGTGTAACTCTTTCCTCTACAGTGCAACTTTTTACTAGTGTTACCAGAAAATGAGATTGACTCAGATTTTTACATACACAGTAAAAGATTGAGAACGATTTCAGCATTGTGCAATTTTGTTTGTGGGATTAATATTGTTATGTATTGAAACATCAATGAGGCCTTTTATAGATTTACCACAGTGATCATCCATCCATCCATCCATCCATCCATCCATCCATCCATCCATCCATCCATCCATCGTCAACCGCTTATCCTGCATACAGGATGGCGGGGCTGGAGCCAATCCCAGCTGACATCAGGCGAAAGGCGGGGTACACCCTGGACAAGTCAACACAGTGATCAATGGCTGACAAGAATTCCATAAATTATTTTAGAATATTCCCCAAATGCTGTGGGGGTATGGATTGTTTTTCTGTGGAACCTAATTAAGATAATGCCATTGAGGTGGAATCAAGTCCAATTTGGTAAATATTGCCATAGGACCAGTGTTGGGCAGTAACGCGTTACTGAGTAACTCATTACTGTAATAATATTATTACACTGTAACTAATTACTTTTCTAAAACAGCAATATTGTTACAGTTACTAATCCAAGTAACTCTGCGTTACTCATTACTGAACGCATCATCCTTGACGTGAATGTCCGCCACCAGACTTTGTTGTTCATGTCCGCTGAAAGCCAAAACTAAAGGAAGAATGGAGGGAGGGAGAGAGGCGTTCTTTCCACAGCTGTAAATACTGCCATTACTGTGTCACAGTCTAAGATGCAAAGAACATTGTCGTCTACTGTAAACTCTGTGCGACCAGCAAAAAGGTTTCAACCGCCAACAGTTCTACATCTGATTTATTGAAGCATCTGCTGAAGCAGCAGAGCAACGTGAAAGTTACAGAAAGAAACTCTGGCCGCAACTGTCATGTTTGGACTCGTCAGGAGAGACGTTTTTATTCTGCCCAAAGTCAGAATATAACCCCCCTCCCCATTCCGCTGCCACCCTGTCATTCTGTTAAGCACTGGAAAGTAATACAGTAACGTAACAAGTAACGTAACTAGTTACTTTTATAACCCAGTAATAAGTAAAGTAATAATATTAGTTTTTAAAGGAGTAATAAGTAACTAGTAATATATTATAATTTCTGAGTAACTTGCCCAACACTGCCCAGGACTTGAAAGGATAAACTGAGGTCCTGAACGTGAACTACCCCTAACCTCATGGTGCTGAGATCTGACTGTTGAGCTCTGACTCAAGTCTTGTCTCCCGTCATGGTTTGTTGTTGAGATTCAGAGAGGTATGTGTGAACGTAATGTACATGTATGTGAAACATTGATGTGCACAATTAATCAACAATTTTGACGTGACATTTGAAAGTGTATCTTATGTCAGTTAGCGCTCTACTCAATTCCCCAGCACTGACACACAGGCTGCCTGGAGAGACTGCAAAACCTTTCATTGCTGGGGAACGCTGTTGTCTTTCAGGCCTGATGGTATTGGCACAGTTACTGTAGAAGAGAAAGAGCGCTTTGAGGAGATCAAGGAGAGGCTACGGGTACTTCTGGAAAACCAGATTACACACTTCAGGTAGGAACTGTGCACAACAACGATGAACAATGATGAGGGTTCAAATAAAAATCACATCTGTTGTTTCCACAGGTACTGCTTTCCATTTGGACGGCCAGAGGGAGCACTGAAAGCAACTCTGTCCTTGCTGGAAAGAGTAAGTAACTTTTGCTGCCGGACAGATGCATTCTGTCATCTATAACCATCTCTTCAATCACTTAATTTTATGCCTACCAGACAGTAAACGTGTTGTCACATATATGGTTATGATGTCTTCTACTGGTGGGCATACAACCTGTTGAAATTTATCATTATTTGTCTTATCATTTGTCATTATATGGTTTGCTGTACACTGAAAACTTTTGCTGTGTCTTTCCTTTTTAGGTTCTGATGAAAGATATTGTTACTCCAGTTCCACAAGAAGAAGTCAAAGCTGTGATCCGTAAGTGTCTGGAGCAGGCAGCTCTGGTCAACTACCAACGCCTGTCAGAATACGCCAAACTTGAAGGTAAATTACTGCTCCATCACCTTTGTTCCTACTTGCTGTTAATATAACAACTCTGCTGAGTATGTTAGAGTCACTGTGAGAGTTTCCTGTCACGCAAGGATTCAAATGTGAGAGATTCTAAATGCAGTGTTGAGGGGATTTCTGAACTCAGTGTGTCAGAACTTGCAAAATTTGGCTATATTATGGTGTTATTATTGATAAGCTTATAGAACATTATGGGATAACCAGTCAAAAGTAGTAAACATGTTCTCCAAGTCTGACTAACCAAGGATATTTTTAAATACTGTAACAAGTACTGTTTTTAACCAAGGTGTTGTCTTCCAGCTGTTGGAATGAACAGCTTAAATTAGCCGTTGATACTTTCATGTTACATACATGCAGTCAAATTATAATCTTCACAGCATTATCGTAAATTGTGCATGAAAAATGTGGATTGTCGATGGGAAACATAGAGTAAAGCAACTATACTGTCATATAGTATATTTGACGGCATTTTTGAATTTCAAATATGAATTTGAAAACAAAGTCTAACTCTTTTCTTCACAGCTGCAGAAATCTTTCACTATATATTTAATGACACGATACTTGTTTTAAGTGGCACATTTTGTTTATTTTGCTTTATCTTCAGCCTATTTTAGTATCAAATGTACAGTAAGTAAAAATGCATTCAATTCAAAAGCTGACTTCGTCCACCATGCCTCAGCTTTCTTTTTCAGCCGAGTCCTAAACTGCCTCTATCTTCCACTTTGGCCTGCCTGGTAGCTGAAGTGATACTTCTTATTTTTCCTTGCTCTGCCTTCCTCCTCCTTGCTCTCTGATGATTTCCATACTCACTCCTCTCTTTTACTTGTCTATTGGCTTTTGCTGCTTCTCATTTGCTGCTATTTGAAATCAGGAAGGCCAATAAACAAGTCATGATGGGACTGCCCTTTGTAGTAGGGGTGGGGGGAAAAAATCGATACAGCATAGTATCACGATATTTTCTGTGAAAATAATGTATTGATACACAGAGGTCAAGTATCGATCATTTATTATATAAATTGCACATGGGAATTTGACTTTTTGGTACTATAATGATAAAATCAGTTGCTTTTTCAATCCAATAGAAAAAATGTTTTCCTTTTGGGACACAATTTGAAGTCGGAAAAAAGGTAATAAATTGCAATTTATCGCTATATTGTTAAAATCGCAACAATATCATATCGTGACATAAGTATCGTGATAATATCGTATCGTGGGTCACCTCTGGTGATACCCAACCCTACTTTGTGGTAGTTTTTTTTATCTGTTGCATGGTCCAGGTTTTCTTTAGTAGGCATCATAAACATTTCGCAGACCTCTGAAACTTGCTATTCCAAGCTGAGTCAAAACAATCTGGGAACTAATTCAGTGCAGAATTTTCGGTTTGTATACATAAATGTGATACTTCATCAAAATATCTCTTTCACTTAGGCTACTGTCTCTGTGACTCTAAACCTCTACAGGAACACTGACATTTGGGAAATATGCATTTTGCTGTCTTTGCAGCTTCATCTCTATGTGTTCAGTACAGAGATAGGTCCTGGATGTATTGTATGATTTAGTCCAGTTTAGCACAATTGATCTTATTAATATGTTGTATCTTGTTAATTTGCAAGATAGTCATCAACCCACCAATGCAAGAGTCATCTGGCTTTTGTTCACAGAACAGAGGTCAAACCTGGCAACCTCATTATGAGGACTACAAACTTGTCTAGTTCTACATGTCCCAAATACACAAGATAAAACATATAAATGTGACACCTAAGAATTTGACAGAACTGTCTATTTGACAGCGCTTGACTTGCTATTTTCTCACTGCTTGCAGTCTCTGTGCTAATCTAGGGTAAACATGTACAGGACATACAGTATCTCTGTAATGGACACTAAGGAGGTAATAGCACTGGGAGCTCATTCCTTTTATACATGAGACGTGACACACTAGGAAGGTTTTATTGCATTTATATGAGATCCCTATCACTGGTTAATCCCTAAAAGTTATAGAATTCCACAGAATAAAATTAAAGAAGAATAATATACAGTCGCAGAAAAAGGTATGTGAACACTTTGGAATTAACTGGATTTCTGCATAAATTTGTCAAAAATGCTTAAACTAATACCACACAAACATTTATATGTTTTTATGTTTTTACTAAACACCGCGTAAACATTCACAGTGCAGGGTGGAAAAAAGTATGTGAAACCTTGGATTTAATAACTGGTTGACCCTCCTTTGGCGGCAATAACCTCAACCAAACATTTCCTGTAGTTGAACATCATACCTGGACAATGGTCAGGAGGATTTTTGGACCATTCCTCTTTACAAAAGTGTTTCAGTTCAGCAATTGTCTTGGGATATCTGATGTAAGTCACTTTCTTAAGGTCATGCCACAGCATCTCAGTTGGGTTGAGGTCAGGACTCCACTCCAGAAGGCGTATTATCTTGTGCTGAAGCCATTCTCTTGTTAATTCACTTCTGTGTTTTGGATCGTTGTCCTGTTGCTTCACCCATCTTCTGTTGAGCTTCACTTAGTGGACAGATGGCCTTACATTTTCCTGCTAAATTTTTTGATAAAGTTAGATAAAGGAATTCATTTTTCCGTTAATTATAGCAACACTTCCAGGCCCTGAGGCAGCCCCAAACCATGATTCCCCCTCCACCGTACTTACAGTAGGGATGAGGTTTTGATGTTGGTGTGCTGTGCCTTTTTTCCTCCACACATGGTTGTGTGTTCCTTTCAAACAATTTTGGTTTTGTCTGTCCAGGAGGGGACATCTAGGTGCTCATTTACAAACTTAAGACGTGCAGCAATGTTTTTTTTGGACAGCAGTGGCTTCCTCCATGGTGTCCTTCCATGAACTCCATAATTGTCCATAATTGAGTTTTACGTATCGTAAAGTCGTCAACAGAGATGTTAGCATATTCCAGAAATTTCTGTAAATCTTCAGCTGACACTCTAGGATTTTTCTTAACCTCATTGAGCATTCTGTTCTCTGCTCATTCAGTCAATTTCACAGGACTACCACTCCTAGGTAGAGTAGCAACAGTGCTGAACTTTCTCAATTTATTTAGACAATTTGTCTTTTCATGGACTGATGAACATCAAGAGATACTTTTGTAACCCTTTCCAGCTCATTCAAGTCAACAAAATCTTAGGTCTTCCGAGAGCTCTTTTGTTCGAGGCATGGCTCACATCAGGCAATGCTTCATGAGAATAGCAAAATTTAAATTGGTGTGTGTTTTTTTATAGCACAGGGCAGCTCTAACCAACACATCCAATCACGTCTTATATATTGGACTCCAATTAGCTTTTGGAGAAGTCATTAGCCTAGGTGTTTACATACGTAGGTTCCATCCTGCACTGTGAATAGAATAGACTAGATCAGATAATGCACATTGAAAGGAGTACAAGACAACCACATTTCCCAAATTGTTTTTGTTCAATTAACTGAACTACTTTGAATGGTCGATTTAAGACGATGTCTATAAAGAAACCATCACCTCCCTGAAGACACTAAGGAAGATGAACCTTAGTATCTCACTTGTGATTGCTGATTATCCCCAAAAACCCTGTCCATCATACTGGTGTGTTTCTTGACCTATGGGGAAATTCAGAATTTAAATTCTTTACCTCTGCTTGGCAGAACGAATGGTTAATCCAACGTAGACAGCCCATAATAGAGTTGAGGACATATTTCTAAGGAAGGTTCTCAAAGGTTCTGGTGCAGTTTAAGTGATTAATGAAATATTATAGCGTTACTCAATTCATATTGATACACCCCTATTATTATGGTAAACAAACTACATTATCTAGTAACATCTGTTAGTTTCTACCTGGCATTTTATGTAATGCTGGGTTATTTAAAGCTCAAAGGGAGAATAAATGTAATAACAACCATGACATATCAAAATTTGTTATAAATTCAATCCATCAAAATAGAATTTTGATATATTTCAAAATGTGCTATTTGATTTCAAACAAAACTACTACCTAAAAGTATCCAAAAATGTTTAAAATGAAGTCAATATAATTTGAGAATAATATGCATGTTTATAAAAACAAATCATTCTGTTTCTGTTAAAAGTTTTAGTGAGGAACAAAAAATTAGTGACAATGAGTGTGTAATGATTTACTTCCATTTCAATTTCAAAACATAAAATCTTTTCTCCATCCATGTTGTGACAAAATAAAAGTTAAAAACATTGTTACGAATTGAATTATCCAAAGAAACAAATGGCATAAACGTGACATAAATAAAATTGTTTGACGTAAACCATTATACTTGTAAGTATAGTAATAGATTTATATTAATTTTATCACAGTTCTGTTATAGATCATGACCAAATAAAATGTGAGTTTTCATTTCCTTTTTAATATTAGTACAAAATGCAGAAATCTAAAATAAAAGAAATAATTTGATTTGGAATAGTTCTTGCTGTTTTCCCAGTCCTCTTCAGTAAAACTAAAAAATACTGATGTGACGCAGAGCCTATGATACAATCAATGCTACATTGAGATTTCAAAATGATACATATTGCACCTTTGATACAATACATTTTAGATTTTAATTCACTGAATACTTAGCATATTGGCATAATACCAATATGCTTTTATGGCGTGACATTTGCGAAATGTAAGATACTAAATATCATCTTACACCAAAAATGCAAGTATGGACCTCGAAAACCACATATTGGTCAAACCTCTGTACTCGTCCTCTCTGACCCTGGCCTCTCGCATGCCTCGGTATCCTCCCCCTTTCTCTGTAGGGAAAAAGAGAGAGATGTATGAGCATCCTGTCTTCTGCTTGGCGTCTCAAGTGATGGATTTAACCATTCGTGAGTACCTTCCTCACTCCCCACCTCTGTACCCTTTTATTTTTCTCTTACAACCAGTATGCACCCCAGCCTCAACAAGTGACCTCACATTTATGTCATCCCTGACGTCCTTTGGTTTGTTTGTTGTTTTAACTTCTTATTACGTTTTCTTGATATGTTTCAAGCTTATTTGGTCTCTTAGCGACTCAAAATCCATTCTAATCTTTCCATGAGCTGGTTTTCTGTCCTGCCCAAACCACCTGTTCTTTGTCTGTCCGCGACTTGAATGCATTTTTACTTTGCTTGTGTGTAAATCCTCTTAAGTGTTTATTATCACAGTACATTCAACCAGGATACCCACATCCTGCAGTTATTTAAAGGGCATCTTATTCAGCTCTCAATCCTTTGAATGAAATATCTTTGGACCCAGGTTAGATGAGTTGTTAAAGGATAGGTCACACATTCCTTTTAAACATGCTTCTGTTCTTGAATGAAACCACTGATGGCATATATTACAATCATGTTAACAGTTTTTTTATGCTTTTTCAGATGGCCTATACTGGAATTTAGGTCAAAGTGAAGATTTGTTTTGTGTCCTTTTTTCTTGCTTCTTCTAAAATCTCCTATATCACAAAATGCATTTAAGCCCAGAGGCTGCAGATAGATGTCGAAAGCATTGCTATTTAATAGTCAGTCTAACCTTTACCTATATTTCTGACTCCTGTCTTCCATTGCCCCTTCTTATACTACCAGTATTGAATGATCTATTCTCTTTCACACTCTCCCTGAAACCTTACCACTTCTGCCTATCTTATGTCCATCCTTGCAACTTGTTCCTTTTGTATTTGTAAATTTCTTACTAAGTGGAGATCTCAGAAAAAACTGAAGGATCAAGGGGACAGTGTACTCTATGTGAGACCTCTGCTGTTAGCTTATTCCTACCTTAAACCATACCGCCATAGACCCTTCCAACTTGCTGATTAAGTTTGACAAAGCAAGAGTCTATAATAGGACAAAAGGTTATAGAAAATATAACTTTATAGAAAACTATTTGTCCGTAGTTTGCAAAACTACACTTCCAAACTCCGACATAATAGCTCTGACTTGACAGGCATCACTACATCCTGACAATCCCCCCTTTGAACCAGTACAGAAGTCCCATTCTGTGAAAGCTTTCAGCCTTGTTTGGATGACTTAAGCTCCAGCAGGCAGTCACCCATCACCCTGCTGCTTTTCCACAACATCACTGTGCCGCAAGAGCTCTGCCAGTACGTGGACTGGACACAGTCAAGACTGTGACATGGCCAATTCAACCCCTATAAAGCAGTGTGTATATGTGTGTGTGTGTGTGTGTTTGTTCTTATCCATTAAGATGATGGTACTGACACCAGAATGAGACAGCGTAAACCAAAGCGTAACTCACACACTTTGGTCTTTTTAAGACATGTATTGTTTTATTTCAACATTCTAAGATTTTTTGTCAGATGATTCATTGATCTGCTCCAACCAAATCGCATGCTGACCATTACTGAAGAGGTATGCTATAGAGTAGGAAGGTGTGTGGGTTGTAAAAGTATTTCCCCAATGTTAAATTAAATAAGTTAAAGTAAATAAGCTTATTTAAATCCTTTATTAATTAAGCCAAACTCACATGCAGAACCAACACCTCTGCCAAGACATTTGGTCTCTCCACACCCAACCTTGCAGTGCTAAACAATAACACCATTGCATGCATTGCAACCTCTATAACACAGGACATCGCACACCCAATCATCACCACCTTAACCTACTGCCCCCCAGTGCAGGTACAGAGCACAGAGGTGCAGAAGGGCTCACTTTGGGAAAAGCCTAATCCCTGCTACCATAGCCACCTTAAATAATAGGCCTCGGTGAATTGGTCTGAGTGTGAATTGTTGTCTGTCTGTGTATATTGTTGAAGTGTCCTGTTGTCGTCTGCTGTGTACAGTGCTGTGAAGATAGACAACTGAGAGCAAAAAATGATCATAATAATAAAACATTTTATTGGAAAATGTCAATTTAAAAAAACTGTTTTTTTAGATACTCTTGCAAACAGCATTTAATCAGTACATAGGACCTTGGACCAAGGATACCTTCAAAAGCAAAAATTACATTTCAGTTTAGAGGCTCAAATCGGTGTGATATGTCATTCTGAGTTCCTTCCAGAGTAAGAGTTGGAGCTGAAGTGGTGCACACACAGGATGAGGCAGGTGGACACAAGTTACATTAGTTGAGACGTGGCATGATAAAAGCATGAACAAATTCTCCTAAGATAGGAAGTTTACATTATGCATGCTCGCATATTTGGTGTCAAACGAGTGTGTGGGTTGTGAGTAATACAATAGCCTCTGCATTGGTCTAAAACTGATATAAAATCAAAAAGTGCATTGATTGTGCTGGATTTATCCACATTCTTCTTCAAAGTTAAACCTCTATCTTCACCCCACCACTTGTGAGACTTCAAATTGTTTGAATCTTGCTTTTTGGATGTTTCTTACTGCAGTGGTCTCTGGGCCTCATTTGAGGTCTTTTGTTGTTATGTAAAATGTCTTGTACCTTTGCATACAAGTTGAATTTCATCCATCCAAATGTAGGAAATGCTCCAACATCCAACGATATTACTTTTATTGGCATAATATGGAAGCCAAAATGATGATGCTACTTCACCACCCAAAACAATCAAAATGTAAACTAAGTCAGATGCTGTGCGGATAAGCACAGCATAACACCACATCACTGCATGATGAGTGTTCAATGTACATGCTGTTCACATCCCTCATCAGGTCATGTTTTTGGATGACATCATCACTGTGCGGTCACAATGACTCGTTTGCTACGTACCACAGGCCATAACTACTTTCAGCCACCCAACAGTGCTTTTAGATCTCAAGGGGGTAGTGTTTATAACAAAAATGCTTTAACAATATGTAGCAATGCTGAAATTACAGTATAACCAGGGCTGGGTAAAACATGTGTTGCCTCAAGAAAATATAGTATACAATCAATAGAATTAGATCATATTGTAGACCGGAATAGAAGTCTAGAGAAGTCTTTTGTCCGAAATTATTGAGGTCTGATATCCAGACCTAATTTTATCAAGTTCATATTTCATACTTGTATTTTTAATATGAGTGTGAGATTGTCCCAGTGGTTTAGGCTGAGGATCAAGACTGGACTAAGGATGGATCACTATTAAGGCAATATCTATCCAGAATTTGTGAGTGACTTAGTCCTTTAGCTCCAGTGTTTGGGGAGTAGGCAGGATAACATGCATGTTGTTTCCTTTTGTGCAATTGTACTAATGTATCAAAGACACTTTTATAACTCGGACCAGGGATGTTATTGTACGCAGTATTTATAGGAACAAGGGCCTTAGTTTAAGAAAGAATCGAAACTGATCCAACTCGGAGGCTGCCCACACTGACCCTTGACCTTTGTGCTCCAGAGAATGTAGGGCGGTTAGTCACCCCTGCCAAAAAACTGGAGGACACTATTCGCCTGGCCGAGCTGGTGATTGAGGTGCTCCAGCAGAATGAGGAACACCATGCTGAGGTTAGTGTGCTCATGCATCTGTGCTCACACACAAACACACACACAAATAAACACAGACAAGTAGTTTGATGGCAGTATGGGCTGGTGGCTGTCTCAAAGAACATTGATTGTATGTGCAAAACCAGTTATAACAAGACTGAAAAGATGGAGCTAAAAAAAATAAAACTGAATGGCAGCTAGGGTTGTCTCTCCACCGGCTATCTCAGCTACTGTTATTATGAACCTCATTACTATCTAACAGAACTTTACTGTAAGATGACCAGACTTCTGAAATGGTTTGGTGGTCAGTATGTCATTAAAAAATATAATGTTGTTATATATGAAATAAAAAGGGGGACGATTTTGGTTATAATCTGTCAAATATAACTCGTCTGAATGAAATCAAGTCATTTTGAGGCATTTTGCTGCAATCACTTTCTGGCAAGTATACTGCATTTTATGTGTTGTTTTGGCCATTTAATGGTATTTTAATTGGTAAAAAATAGGCTACTAGTTGAGTTCTGTAAAACGCATAGATGTCATTTATACTGGGAACGCTGGGGACATGTCCCCACAACTTTTTGAAACAGCTGATGTTGTCCCTATCACTTTTTGAAAGCATTTGTAAAAAAAACAACAACCAAATACTGAAAAACTGCTTGCAACAAGACATGTTAAATAACAAATGAAAATGCTTTAAGAAAGGTTTATTTGCACAACAAGAATTCAAAAAGAATGCAATGCAATGTAATATATAGAAGAAACAGATCTGCTCCACTATATTTTTATGTTTTGAATTGTCACCTGCCACCTGAATTTTGTGTTTCCCTCTTTATAAATAAAGACTTTTTCTACCATAAATGGTGCAGAAAATGTCTCAAGAATGCAGGAAATTAAGTGTTTGCTCAAAATCTTAATGACTATTTAATCTAAATGGATTTAATTTAAAATATATTCTTGTCATGTTCTTGTGACGCAAAGCTGTGCATCATTATGTCTCATGGCTTTTGTCCAACCTCTAATCTGTGCCCTTAAATGTCCCCACCACTTTTGAACACGCCACTTTTGAACACAAAATGGTAAAACGTAACCGTCATAAATTAAATCAGTTAATTTTGAGGCAGAATCTACCTTTCAGTCCATAAGTAGAAGCTGCAATCACTTTCTGGCAAGTAGTATACTGCATTACAGCAGTAAGTCATTTTAATTATAGGCTTCATTCCATGTTCCAAAGATAAACAAGAATAGTAGACATAGGCCTACCAAACGCATAATCCATCGGCAACAACACGCTTCTATTATTGCCTATGATCACACAATGCACGCTATAAACTGCAAACACTTATTTGGCCACAATTGTGATTATTCCGTTGAAAGAAATGGTCAAGTTTCACAAAGACATACCTTTGCTATTACCACAAACATAAAGTTCTGTCAGTTTGATCCAGATAAAAGCAGCTGTACTCGTAAAGAGACTGGGCGATCCCGGAAAACGGGGACATCTGGTCACCCTACTTTACTGAAATCCATCAACTTCCACACAACAGTACAGTATCATATTTAACTGTGGCCGTCTAAGGAAGCAAGCATTATGTCACTTTGACATTTAAGGGGCTCTATGTAGTTTTTCAGTTAAATCACTTAACAATACATACCGTAATCTGACATAAAAATTAACTACACACCTCTGTCCCACGGAACAGTCACTATTCTGCTTTTTATGTAAAGAAATCGGGTTGGATTTTCTGCAAAGCCTCTTGACAACTGATTCTGAACTGTAAACACAGCAGCAACACCACACAAGCTACTGAAACAGATTCCAACACAAACCCTACATAAGGATATAAAACAACAATAAAGTTTTATGTGCTGATAAGGGCCAAACAAGAATCTTATTGAAGCTGGGCCATAGACTGTATATAAGAAATGGAGGTAGTCATCGTGACGTCACCCGTTGGTTTGTGGACTGCCGTTTTGAAGTCTCAAGTTTGGCCGATAGGGCGCCGCCATGTCGAGTTTTTGCAACCAGGAAGTGCCGATAAGTGACGATACGGCAGAGCTAACGGCCATGTGCAGAGCTAGCTAGCTTGCTTAGCTAGGTGCAACTGTAACTCACGTTAACTGTCATTTTAACAGGGCCGATAACTTTGTCTAGCAAACAACAGTCTTAAAACTAAATGTACTCACCAGAGAAAGTAAACAGCCAACCCAGGTAAACTAATTAATGCAAAGCATGTGAAGGATTTTGTGCTTTAGTTGGCTCAAGTTAGATAATGTTAGCTAAAGCCAACCAGATGCTAATGTTATCCTGTACAAAATACTATAGTGTATGGCTTGCCACATTACTTCACCAGCTAATCCATATTACTACCCTGTGTACCACTGGTAGCTTATTATATCAAAGTGTTAATTCTTCAAGGAATTATGTAACGGTACAAAACAAATATGGAGCGATTTGTTTAGTATATAGTGATGCAAGGCAGGAGCAGCTAGCTACTTGAATACAGGAATTGAAAAATGCTCAGTCAGTGGTGTACAGGCCTTTTAATCAGAGGGATGTGTTACCACTTGCGTGAACTTATACATTTTTCCTCTTCAACAAATTAACTATGAAGAGACTATTTTACATACAATAAAGCATGTGCTTGAGTGTGTGCGTCCCGGCGATTGATCCACATCTAATCTCATTTGCTGCAAATCCAAACTGTTAGAAAACAGCATTGTGCTGCCCTTTCTCCACCTAGTGGTAGCTGTATTTTTAGGCCACTGGGAATATTGAGTTTGAGTTTCGACCCTTTCCTGTAGCTTGTCTGTGTGGAGTGTAGAAGCAGCAGAGTAGCAGATCAAGACAGTGAAGTTAGCAGATCTTTCTATTTCACACAAAACTCAGGAAACATATGTACTTTAAGTATTTGCAAAGTATGTCACACTGGATGTTAAGCAGGTGAAGCAAAATTAGTAGTTTATGTTAAGATTATATTTTCGCATTCGTGATGTTAATGTCCATTAGCACGTTATAGGAGATTTCCCATTATACGTTAGCATTGAGCTAATAGTCAAAGCGCTTTTTTATTCTTTTTTATGTATCGATATGATGGGCTGGAATATGGATACAGTATCATGGGTAATGCCCAGTGGGCCATCGCACTTTGGGGCCGGTGTGACGTAAATAATTTATTTATATAACTGTTTTTAAAAAATGGCGATTGGCTCATTGGGTAATTTTCTATACTGACATTGGGCTGGACCAATCACATCTCTTATTAGCCCTCACACCCTCTGCTCTCTGTTTCTTGTGTTGCGGGCATGGTTGCGGGCCAAAAAAAATATTCAGACAGCTGCCGCCAAATGCGCGAAAACAACCCATATATTTACTCCCGGGGCTGCAGTAGCTTCAACATCAGCTGCAGTACCCTGCGTAGTGCAGGCACAGGCACCTGAAGGAGTTAAAGAGCTGTGGTGGCCACTGCCAGGAAGAGGAGGAGTCGTGTTTTAGCGAAACAGAGGGACAAATTGACAGGGCTGAGGGACAGAGAGAACAGGAGGAGAGTGGAGGTGAAGCGGTAAGCATGTAGCTCAACCTGTAGGGAGGGAGCAGGGCGGTAGGGTCATTTACACTGTCCCCACCACTTTTTGAAAGCATTTGTTAAAAATGTTCTGAAAAATAGCTTGCACCAAGAAATGTTGATTAACAAATAAAAATACTATGAGAAGGTTTATTATTAGGTTTATTTGCACAATAAGAAAACCTAAATATAGAAGAAACCTCTGTGTTGACCAAAAAAAGTAACTTATGCAAAAAAGCTACTGATTACTGCATTATATTTTATTATATTTTTATATTGTGAATTGTCACCTGTCACCTGAATTTTGTGCTTCTCTTTTTCACTTTTTCACCATAAATTGGTGCAGAAAATGTCTCCAGAATGCAGGAAATTAAGAATCTTATATAAAATAAATGAAATAAAATCTTATGGGGGTGGACACCCTGACCCCCTATCAAACATTTCATCTATAAATATAAAATATAAATAAATAAATATAAATAGTAGGCTTTTAAATATATATTCTTGTCTTGTAGTCATGGACAGCAATCTTGTGCAAATGTTATGTCTCAGTGTTTCATCACAACGCTAATCTGAACCCCTAAATAGATCGATGGTGTATTTGTGAGGGGTGTCTGTGTATTTGGTGGGTCTGCAAAAAATGCCAGGGCTGATTTTTTGTCCCAGTCCAGCAGCCCACTATCAAACCAGTACATTACATTACTCTTTTAGCAGACGCTTTAATCCAAAGCAACTTACAATTGCTATACATGTCAGAGGTCGCACGCCTCTGGAGCAACAAGGGGCTAAGTGTCTTGCTCAGGGACACAGTGGTGGATGTCTCACAGTGGGAATTGAACCCAGGTCTCCCACACCAAAGACAAGCATCTTATCACCCTGGTGATGGCGAAATAATATACACTAATGAAATGCCTGCTCATATAAAAACATTTACATTCAACTTTAAAAGACTATTTAATCAAGGATTTGAAAAGTACTAGGAGATCCTCCTGTTGGAGGTTCTGGTACTTTTCAAATTCTTTGCAAGGAGTTTCAAGTTGATGGGGCACAGTATGAGAAGGCAGACTTCCCCAAAGTTGTCAAACAAATCATCCTGGGAACTATTAAAAGCAGCAGCCTGCTGGACTGGGTATGATGACTACTGACTGCAAAGCTAAGGAGGCTACTAATGTAATGTGGTAATTCGCAAATGAGTGCCTTATTGACAGAAATATATACCTTTAGGGAAATAAATATGGTAGGAAATGCAAATGAGGAATACAGACAAAAATATTATATTATTATATTATATATTTAAAAAACTAATTAATAAATAAAGTTGAATTTTATAAAGGACAATAAATAAATAAAGAAGGTAATTAATAAAAGGTGAATAAATAAAGAAACAATTCTAATTATTTAATTTAATTAATGCAACATTTATTATTTATTGGTGCATTTAATAGGTTGTTTATTTATTTATTGAGCATTTAATTTGTGTATTCAGTTTCGATTGTGTCAGAATCCACCCCCCATAAGTGATTGCTTCGTAAAATTGAATTTAGATTTATTGTCATTTTACTGATACTCAGGTACAGAGCTTCTTTACCCGTCTCAGTTGCTGTAACCCACATAATATACAATACTGCAACATAACGGCGCAGGACAACACAGGGGAGGACCCTGTTAGTATGCTACAGTAATGTTACTTACTACGCTCTAATTTTTATACTAAAGTATGGCAACAATCTCATCACAAAACTTGTAACTTTCTGGTGAAAGATACACAACTAGTCTTAAAAAGCTGGCAGGCGAGCTGACGCTGATGGATTATGTCTACTTTATGCAGTCAGTGGTGGTTGCAATCTGAAACCTCACCGCTAGTGGCCACAGAAAACTACATATGGCTCCTTCAAGGAAAAATGTATAAATGGGTAGGAGACACCATCAGCAAGTAAAGAATCATTTGAAAAATGAAAAACTACTTTGTTTGCTATAGTATTTCAAGCCAGGTCTAATATTCCTATAATATCCCTATAGCATCTTACATATAGGTTTATTGACTTTATGTGGACATGCTTGACATTCTTCTGTGTAATTCATCAACATAGACATTCTTCAATTTGTTTATAAAATAAAATAAAACTCACTCACATATTGCATTAATATTTCATGATTTTATCCAAATTTATCTTATTGTAACATATTTTTGTTTTGTTTTGTCAACAGTGAGCTATTTTTCTCATATGAAATCAGTATTACACTAGGGCCATACGCAATGTTATTGGCCAATAGCAGCAGTTTACAGCTGTGAAACTAGAGGCAGCATTCTGTATATTCCCCACAAAATGAATGTTCAGTACACACAGTAAGGAGCTTTAAGCAGTTCTGGAGAGAGGATAAGTTGACTAGTGTACTAATCTTATGGTATCAGCCACACATTGATGTTTAGTTGACAGGGTGACTCACTAGCTAGCCAACAAGTGGACATGTTTTTTTCTCACTGCCAATGTCAATAACAGCATATAATTATAATGGAACATTTTAATCATCATCATGGTCACCGAGTGCACTACATCACCTGCAAACCCTCTAGGACTTGACAGTATACTCCAATTGAAATCCAAATTTAGCTTAATAGCACCCAAGCCATATGGTTTCTCAAAATAAAACCCCGCTATCCTAAAACTACTTCAATTCTATGGAATTAAACCAAAAACATGTGGGCTACCACAACTAGTCTAGTGATATTTGTTGACTAGTTGGATATATGTAGGAGGGGCAGTGAAAAGTCTACAAGATGTTCTCCTTGCCAGCCTGTGCACTGCAATGAGAGCCTCATGCTGCACTTTTGCTACATTTTTATTTTGTTTGGAAGCCTGTGTAGATATGCCAAATCCCATTTAGAGTGGAGGATTTTGTCAGATATAAGGAGTGTTTTCAGGTGGTGTTTCACAATTTGTTAAATCAGATTTGTCACAGAGTTTGGTTTATGTTTATGTCAAATGACTTCAGAACTCCCATTTATATGTTTACCTTTGTCTCCTGTACAGATTTTATCATCAAAATACCTACAGGGGATCTCAGATAGATTGTGCAAGTTATTTTGTATTCCTTCTGACTGGGGCTCTCAAAGTTTTGTGTTGATTCAGATTCCAAATGGTGAATACACACCCTCACCAGTGACTGCATGCTACGTTGAATTATCATACTGTGTCTAATCTGCACATTCGGCCATGCCTGACACAAAATACTCACTCTAAAGTGGCAGGTTTGTAGTGGATATGGAGAATTATCAATCAGGTCAATCACAGCAGAGAAGCTTCTCTGTTTATCTGGCACTGAGCTGAAAAGATAGTGAAGGATGAGAACAAGGGAATGAAGTCAAAGGGAAAAGAGATGCACTAATGAAATGAAAACATGAATGTTGTTTTGATGTAAATATGCCTTGATCTATCCATTTTCATCCCTTTTACTGTAAATGCTTTGGTATTTACATCACTGTAAGTTGAATTATTTGTCACTCCGTTATTTAACCAAAACAAAATTGACTTATTCCCTCTCTGCTTTTTATTTCAATGAATGATTTGGTTTGCGGGGAAATGTTTGAACAGGGAAAAGAGGTATGTGCTTGTCTTAGTGCAATTTTCCCCGTCTCCTACCCTACCCTCACTCTAAGTCCTGTGCATGCACTTAATGATGGAGGATCATTACTGTTTCCCTTCTCAACAATGACCCAGAACCCCTTTGAGCTTGTGATCTCTGCTAATCAAGTGCTTGCGGCAGCGTGTGTTAGCTTCTAAGCTAGCAACAGTTTTGCCTTTGATGATGAAGAACAGAGACAAGCACTTAAGCAATGTGTTTTATTTGCCGAACTCATTAACCTATGCTCTGTGAAAATAATGTTTAGAGTTGTGACTTTTAATGCTGAATATGTATATTCTGTCTAAAAGAGTACAACTCTTTACCTTGTTTTCTAGGAGTCTAACCCAAATCATCCCTGAAAATGCTAATTGTTTCTGCTTTTAGCCTTGTGTCTTTTATTCTACTAAGTTCAGTAAGTAAGCTTGGGGAAGGTATTGTGGCACCCTTCCTTCCCTTAAAGAAACCCATTCCTCTCCATTGGATCCTTCTGTACACAAAGGAGGAAATGTGAGGCATGCTTTGTGTGGTCAGAGAGAACATCACTCCTCTTGCATTTCAATGAAATGCATTACGCTGCTGCTCAAATTATGTGATCACTGGTGAACCAGCCTAACCAGCGTTAGACTCCAACCCTGACGCAAACCGATATCAATTACATTTTTGTTTTGGTCAATTCACAATGAAAACACATTCAGTTATTATAATTCAGTGCCAACTAACTTTTATTAATTTACACTTGTATGACTCTAATGCTGGTTGCAGTTCATCCTATTTATTAGCCTCATTTTGTGACTCTCATGTAATCACCAATTTTAATTTCAAGATTTTGATGCCACATTCAACTTACAGAAATGATCCACTGTTTTGTAACAAACTAGTAAAACTGCAGCAGGTTGTTTTACAAAAAGAAAGACATGAAATCCTCTAGTTTCATATGGGGCATCTCATATGGCTACAGGAAAAGTGTCATATTGTTGGTGTCCCATTAATGCCACTAAAAGTTACTCAACTGTAGCATCTTAAGGTGAACTTTGTCAGGCATCTATAGTCTTGACCCATAATACACAAGAGCTCCCTGTCAAAAACGAATGTGTAACCATGTGTCTTTTTGATTGAGGTTGAGGCAATAGCATGAGTTTATCATCGTTTCTCAACCACCTTATTCCATCTTATTTAGTGAATTATCATCACCACAGGCCACTCATAACAAAAATTGGAACATCAAAGAGTCTCTTCTTGCCTCAAGTTGGTAAAACTCACCATCCTCTCATTGTCTCGCCAGGATTGTGGGAACCAATACTTTTTTCCCTTTCGCTAAGAAGCATTTTTAGGAAGTGTTTTTTTTTTGCCACACAAATGTTTCTCATTTTACAATAGGAATATTGAGTGGCTTTGACAGATGCTAGCAAAATTATTTTTCCAGTTTTATAGTTGCACAGCTCACAAGGTTTGTGGGATGTGAAAAACAGCTATTTCTTTCTAGACATATTTTAAGATACTTGGTAAGTTTAAAAAAAAAACATCCCGTTTGACATCTGTTTACTTTTGGTTCCTTTCTGTGACTTGAATATAAACATTATTGCGAAAAGTATCAAATGTAAAATTGATTATTACATGAGTGGCACTGATTCGATGTACTCTTGCCAACTATCCCACACCAACTATCCAATGTTAAGAGCTCCCATGGCAAATGCATGCCCCCACCCCCAGCACACATACACTACCACCACCACCTAGTAAGCCCATGGGTACATTCACATTACAGTGTTGACAGCTTGATGTGAATAAGCAAACACCATGGATCCTCAGGGGCCCCTCGTAAGAGGCCTGGCAAGAGTTTTTTTTGGTGTGCATGAGAGTAGCCCAGTTCCTAAAAGACACTCCACTGCATCTATTTTATGGGGAGATATGAGCGCAGCACAGCTCGCTAGCTCCTTTCTTCTGATTGACTCACTTAAAGAGCTGTGGGTGAGTGTTTAAGTAGCTCCCTGCCATGCCTGTCAAGGAGCTGCTGCTGTTTCCTCTGTGGGCCAACAGAAAAGCGTGTGATTTTCCGTGCTCAAGCACTGTTTTTTCTGGTTCTACTTGTGAAGAATCCTTCCCCGGAGATCTGTTTGCGAAGCCATTGAGGAAACAACTTAATTTCTTATGGTGAAAAGTGAGACAGATAGCCATAAGTCTTTCCAATAGATTGGTGGAGTTGCATTACATCTTTAGCGTTTATTGTTAATGAGATTCAAACTGTTAACTTAAAGACATGCCCATTGGGGAGCACTCATAGTCTAATTTGTCTCCCATCATTCACTCTCAACCTCTTGATTTTCTTTTGTGTCCTGTATTCTGTCTCTCTTGCTTCTCTCTTTCTCCTATATTCCATCTGTAGGCCTTCGCGTGGTGGTCAGACCTGATGGTGGAGCATGCCGAGACCTTCCTGTGTCTCTACTCGGCCGACATGGACGCAGCTCTCGAAGTTCAGCCACCAGACAGCTGGGACAGCTTTCCTCTCTTCCAGCTGCTCAATGACTTCCTGAGAATGGACTGTGAGTGAAGAGCTATTAAAAGAAAACATATTCAACTGTCATCATGGGAAGTGACGTAGATGAACATGCCTTGCAATTGGTCCAGCAGGTGCTGTAGAGCCTGATCAGTGAAAAAGTGATCTGACACTAGGGATGTAAGCCTGAAACCTGAAAGAGTAAAACTGAATGAAGGTCAGATTATCCACTTGCCCAGGTTAACATTAATCTCACAGTACACATCATATTAAAAAAGTACATGCATTAGACAAACTAAGCTATATTAAGAACAGGAAAACATTCAAGTTGAAAATCTCAATTTATTTGCGTGAATTTGACTACTTCAGTGTTTCACAGTCTGTCTCCATTTACCACTAACAGCTAATTCACCGACTGTAAATCCTGTAAATCTATTATGTGGTGCAGAAACAGTGACAGTGTTTCACACTCTTGGCTTATATTTTCCATGTTAACTGTCAGTGGCCAAGTCACAATACTGAATTTACTGAATAATTAAGTACAGTAAGTTTCACTTCTCATTTCACCTCATTTCTTGACTGGCTACTCTCTGCTATCTCAGAAGACGACACCTTTTGTCCTGTGTCAGCCACCGTAGCTGTCCTACACTCTATGAAGCAGCGGGGGACAAGACAATCTGCAGCCTCCACAACCTTCGAAAGTGCTTAACTAACGTTAGGGTGTCATGCAGGGCCGTTTCTCTGTGTTGAATGGATGTAATTGCTGTTGTTTGACTATGCACTTGCATAGTCTTCTATAAAACACTATTTGTGAGTAGACAAAGAGTTTTTTATAGAGTTACCGATATGCATCATCTGTTTCATGTCAGTAGCCAAGCACTGTTTGGCACGCTCTCATCCGCTGCATGACCAAACAGGGCTTTAAGTCGCCAAAGCATCTCCTCACCACTAAGGTTTATGCTGTTGATAGACAAGGTTTATCCATAGCAGCACTTTATGTTTCAGGTTATTTGTTCTGACTGAAATCATTCCTGTCGATGTGAGATGTCTGCTTTTGGCCTGGAGCGCTTTACATTCTGAACAGTGTGTGTGTGTGTGTGAACAGGATCAGATGTGTCTGACTGAAGGTAATAGTCAGGTCTTGATGCAGGTTGCTGCAGGCCAGCCATCTCTCTAATGAACTGCAAGCACTTGCCTGCAGGAACACCGTGGAGCTATCCACGGTCCTGTAAAGGAAACACTTCACTGTTCACAATGCAGGCTCAATCTGCGTGGCGCTAATTGTCCCTGGGGAATGCTTCCCCTTTTCAGTTTGTCAGTCGGGAGTCAAGGAGAAGGCAATGCATGGTCCACTCATTCAGCTGAACAGTGATGAATGCAAATGGCTCGTTATGCTCACTTGTTAGTGTCATCAAATTGGCCACCTTCTCATTTGCTACATATTGTCAATTGTGTGAAAATGGCAATTGGAGTGCATAGCACCACCCAGAACAACAGTGTGGTCCAGTGATCTGTGTTTAATAGTTTTTGGACAACAATGGAGCTCTATGGCACAGAGGAATAAAATCAGGCTTTGGATACACAGACAATGTAAATACTTAGTAGGGTACAGTTGACAGTTTGTTGACAGTAAGAAAATTGCTTGCATTATCCATTAATGTGGTCCTGTGTTCAATGTGATTTTCTTTTTTATAACACAGGATCAGAGCTACATGAATATGAAAGTATACATTATGTGCGCTCCATCCTAATGTTAAATGTTTATTTTTGTTTGTCACTGAGGCTTAAAAATCAATTTAACCCAAAAGAAATCTCACAGTTTTAGCTTATTTTTTAACCTGTTTGGGAAAAAAAGACTCTATTATCCAACATGGCTTGTTAAGATGTAAACTGTTTGCTGTGGGCAATTGTATAAAAAATAAATCAAAAACAAAACTAGAATACAAATTAATATGAATTAATAATACAGAGTGTACATTAATCAACATAACAGTTATTTACAGAATCCCAGGCAAGATTCAGCCTCCTTTCAAGACTTTGATATTTATTGCAATTCCATAAATAGGTTTATGTTTATTCCATATTTATATATTTCTACATTTATTTATGTCAACGTGGTTTGGTGGTCCTTATCACCAAAGCAAATTTCTTGTATGTGTAAAACACTACTTGGCAATAAAGCTCCTTCTGATTCTGATAAACTTTGAAATTGGGTACTTAGGAAAAGGGAAAGCAGCAGAGGTCGAGACATCCTGACTTTTAATCACTAGTGCGGGTCAATCTTCAAAACTACTGAACCCTATGCTTCCCGTAATGCACCACTGTTAAACCCTTACTGCTTTGGAAACATCAATGTGTTTTAACCTCCACCTCCGGTTTGTAACGCAGGTTTCTGTTGCATTTTCTCGAAACACAAGACTTGAAAAAGCTCCTCCAGACCTACAGAAGACATTATAAAATTACGACGAGCTGAGTAGTACTCCCTGTGACTGCCCTTATTTGTAATATCAGTGTAATTCCCCTTCGCCAATCAAAGTATCAGCCCACAGTGTTAATATGTAACACAGTAGCATCAGAGGGTCTTGCAGGACATCAGACACCAAACCATATTCAATACCAACCCAAGACCTAGCGGAGTGTAGCACTGCCCACACAGTGTAACAAGTGAACACTTTAGTAGAGCGTATCATCATGGGGACATCTTTTCCACAGAAGGTCATCTGCTGTGTTGCCCCACAGCAGTGCACTTATGTAGCAGTAAATAGCCTTAGCACTAGACAGGCGCCAAAGTTGGGCTGCCATTCCAGGAGTTAATGAGGTCTAATGCAGTGGTAGCTGGCCCACTGCAAGCCCTGCGAACACACTCCTGGACACAACACATCCAAGTGGACAGCAGCCGCTCAAGTGGCTAATTGGGAGAGTGGCAATCAGGGAACACAACAAACATTGCACCTACTGTGTATCATCGACCTTGACTCCAATGCCAACACACACAAACACACACATGCTCAGAGGGGGAGAGAAAAACAAAGAGAGAGAGAGAGGGAGAGGAAAGGCAGACACGCTGCATGGAGCCGTGAGGCATCACATTAGCACACACTGGCCTCCATTTTATCTCCTGTGGTCTTTGTCAGTGTTGCCTTTTTACCAGTTGGGAGCCGACGGAGACTGGGGGAAATGTGTTTGACGGGTTGGATTTAGAAATACCAGAGACTGTGACCTTTTGTTTAGAAAGATTGAAAACTGGGTATGATATGTCATACCTGCTAATGAAGAGCCAGTATTAGCCACGAACACTAACTTCTTCTGTCATTGTTTATCACCATCTAGGACAGGGTTTTTCTAGAATTTCTCTCACTATCTTTCAGATATATCTTGCAACCCCACATGCATATTATCATGTAGTTACATAAAAAGCCACTTCAGTGCATGAGTAATGCATGAGTGAAACGTGAGGTGTTACACTGCCTATGCTGGCATCTATTCAAGTCTGTTCAGTCAAATGCGTGCGAGACAAGGTTCACTGGGTTTTAGACCACTAGTAGCTCTATGGCGCTATTTTTCTACGAGTATTTGTCAGACCTGAAGGCCACAATGTGTGTTTTGGTGAGTAACACTGGATGTAAACTTAACTCCACAGGGCGCCTTAGACTCACACTAGATCAATCGACTGGCCTTGTATCATAAAACAGTTACTCAGTGTTGCCTGCTATGTGCTAAAGTTTGCTTTGTCACTTCCATGTCTTATTTCTTCGTTCCCATGCTCTACATCAGATAACCTGTGCAATGGGAAGTTCCATAAACACCTGCAGGACCTGTATGCCCCCTTGGTGGTGCGATATGTGGACCTGATGGAGTCCTCCATTGCTCAGTCCATTCACAGAGGCTTTGAAAGGGAATCCTGGGAACCTGTCAAGTAAGGATGCCTTTGTTTCCTTTACATTTGCCGATCCTCTTCACTTGCATAAGGGACATGTAGTGTATGATTAAGCCATTTTCAATTTGCAGATCTGTGTACAGGTTTAGCTTTGGTTTTGACTCGGCCAGTGGCCACTTTATTAAGCACACCTGCACTGAACTGGGGACATGCTTTGCACAATTTTGTCCACTCCTCTTTTTTCCACTCCGTGTTGCCTTGTGGGGCATTGTGTTCAGCGCCACACACAAAGGTCTAGTAATTTTGCTATTTCTGCTTGTATTTTTCTAGTGAACTACATATTACATGTGAACATACAGAATAAGTAAGTATATGCAATTAGGACTCTCTCACGGTTGGATGCAATTAGGACTCTCTCACGGTTGGATTTCATAACAGCAGTGAGCTGGGATAAAGTTTTGGATCTAGAGCTTATATGGGTGTATAACATAATCAAAGAGTGTATCTTTAACTGAAGTGTGACCCCTAACTTATAGTCAGTTTGTTGCTTTTTACAACTCATTTGCATCAGCTTTGACGTGGAATCTCTGTTATTCTGTTTCCCTCCACAGGAGTATAACAAGCACTCTGCCTAACGTCAACCTCCAAATGCCCAAAGTACCAAATTTAACAGTGCCAAGTGTTAACGTCCCACAATTGCCAGGCTTTTCAACACCCAACTGGATGACAGCTTATTATGAGTCAGAGTGTGTATCTGCTTTGTACAGCCTGAGACATGCGCACATGTCCTTGGCATGAACGTGGCATCTCAGTCAAATGACCCCAAAGCAGCAGGATTATGTTTATATATATCAAAAAAATTAAAAATACTGTACATTGCTTATATTGGACAATGCCGTAAAATTGTGTGTTTTAGGAATTGAAATCAATAATACCCTTTGACAAAGAACACAGTGTTTTAATTATGTGTCTTGTGCATATTTGTAGCTATTTATGCAAATGAACACAATGTTTGTACTCTAAATCAGTCAAATTAGTTTTGAATGTGCTCTTTTAATAATTACTTTTATTATCATTTTTTTCACATGAAAAGGGTATAGAAACTGTTTTCAGATTGAAAAGTTTGTTGTTTTGTTATAATGTAAATTCTTAAATTGGGAAACTAATTAAAGGTCTAGAGTAAGCACTGTAAGTAAACATTATATGTCATTTTCTAAAACAATACCTAAAATATTGCTTTAAAGACACTTTTACTCTATGATTTCAGGTAAATGTTAATAAAATTAGAATTTTAAAATCCTTTTCATGATCTGCACTATTTATGAGATTTGAGGAGGACTGTTCCAAAACTGAGTAGCCACATTTTTAAATAAATACACCTTTTCCTTTTAGTAAGCATTTAACATGATTTATTTGTTTGAACAATGTGTAATATAATAGCCCCTGGTTTCAGTGAGAGTTTTCTATTAATATGTATGCAATCTTGTGAGTGCAATCACCAAAAGCACTCTGCATATCTCAATAAACACTTTATCACATCATCTATAGCACTTTGAAAACTTAAGTGAAACGTTGTCTGCACCAACAACGTGGATCAAAGGTGTAAAAGCTCTTTCGTATCCTGCCGAGTGTGACGCTGTCGCCGTAGCACATCCATCCCTATTCCCTCATCTGGAATCTTGCGGATACACATTCAAAATTACCAGCCCTGAAGTTTCATTGTAAAAAAAAATATGTGAACTGCATTTCAGCCTTCACTTTATATTTACTAACCAAAGAAAAAATGCCAACAGAGATGGTAGACATGTTTCATTTGTGCTTTCCAAGATCACGAGAGTAGTAAGAAAAGCCTAAACATGGAGCCCCGTGGAGGCAGGTATATGAGTGCATAAATGAATACTAAAGCGCTTGCATAGCTTTGGTAGTGTGTTGGCAATGTAGGCTTTTGTGCAGCCCCAAAGCCACGTTCATGCTAACGTCATGGCATGGTGTGTGTGTGGAAGGATGCTAAGGCAGTGACTTATGGAATCCCAACATTTCTACTCCCACATATGTATTTTTATTTGGACTGGAGAGATGCAAAAACATAACAAGGAGACAGAAAATACAAAAGAAGGAAACCTCACATATTATTAACACTGAGGATTTGTTCTGCATGTTGCTTTCATAAGAAGAGATTACCATCTAGCAAGTGTGTGGTTTTACTATTTAATCATTTCTTTGTAATTTTCTCCTTATTTCATATTTATTCTGTTCATAAAACTTATTGGCTTAATAATAACACTTGATTCATATCATACATAGTACATCGTTTTTTTCTGTGTAAAAAAAACAAAACAGGTATTAACTGGACAAAAAATCTCCTGCCACAGCGGCAAATATATTCACCATGACAACATCTCCTAATTAGCACTAAACACAAAATACAGTTCAGGTTGATGGGAATGTCATTAATTATCACTGTCAAGCGTACGCCTGCAGGGTTAGGATCATACGTGACATGGGTCAAAATCATCTCAAAATCTATATTAATGTATTCAATTAAATGTTCTGATAATTTCTTTGGTAGCATGTTCCGACATCCAAATTTCCACTGAAATGAAAAGGTATTTATACAATGAAAATACAGACGTAACCTTAGTGTTAGCTACTGTCATGGTTATGAACTTGCATCTTTTCATGTCTGTCATTCCAAAGCCTTTCCCCCAGTTACCTGATATACATGTAGCAACCTGGTCCTGGCTTCCCTCTACTAGTTGAAGGTAGATGGATGAGGAGGCCCCTTGTGTCTGAATTTGTTCCTGCATTGTGATTCAGTCTGTTGGGACTGGGTGTTTGGAGCTGCTGAGGGGAGGAATGGTTTTAATAATGGTGTCAGTGGTAATACCGGCAGGTTAATCCTGGTCCTAGCAGTCCTCCACTTTATCCAAACATGTAACCCCGTTTCCGAGTTGACATTAATACACCTGACATCCTGTAAAATGTTGTTGTTTTAATGTGGAAATAAGTCTTGGCAAAAGAGTGACAAAATGTCCTGGAAAGAATGAACTTCTTATGTGCAGATATTAAAGTTTGGTATGCCTCTTGGATTTAAAAATGAGTGGAATCCATGAATCTATCTTGTTTCAGATTTTATTGGAAATGAAGAACACATTACAAAATGAATGCAATCTTCTTTTTTGTCTGTTTAATCATTGACGTAAACACAATGAACTTTGCTGGTTTGAGGCTCATAGGCAACATTTACAGCTTCTCTGGGCCCCGGGGCCACCAGGAAGCCCCTTAACCAACAAAAACAAATCAAAAAAACCTTTGGCTCATTTTTATCATTATGTTTCCTTAAGAAGAAAAAATGTGAATATTTTCAGTACTGTACATTGACAAGAGTGAAGTGATTCTTTGAAAGGTATCTACTAGTAAACCACAAATGATTTGGATGATGTTTGAATCTACGTAGTATCTAGTCAAACGTTTTGTTTGTGTTATCAGTGATTCCTCTTTAATGTAAATATTAGAACAGGTAATTCCTCATTATCAGATAAGTATCATCTCAGTAGGTTATATTAAAATAGTTATACATGAGGCAATCTAATCAACCTGATTTATGTATAAACTCAATCACTCAATTTGTTTTCCCTTTTCAAAGCTCTTGTCGTAAAAATGCTAAATTCTGACCTGTGGTCCTGCAGTAATGGCTCAGGGACGTCAGAGGATCTCTTCTGGAAGCTGGATGCTCTGCAGACCTTCATCAGAGATCTCCACTGGCCAGAGGAGGAGTTTGGCAAACACCTCGAGACCCGGCTGAAGCTGATGTCCAGTGACATGATTGAATCCTGTGTAAAACGGTAAATCATGTGAAGATTACACATTTTAGAGACCATCAACATAGCACACCTCGCAAGCGTTCATACCAAAAACAGCCCTCATTAAAACAACACCATGGTGAGGTGAGAAATGAAATATGAACCAGAAAGTCTAGTCTGAGTAACAAATCCAGAAATTTGAAGGCGTATCAGATGTCAAAACACTGCACAATGGTTTATAATAGATTTTTACAACTCCGGAATTTTTTTATCTTTCGTTGCAACAACTGAAAGGTAAACAGGAGAACTATGGTGCTCACATTAAAAGGTATTCCACCATGCATGCATTGCAGCAAAAGTTGAGCCAGGTAAAAAAAAGTTTGCCAGATGACCTTGTGTTTTTTTCTGGAGCCCTCTGTGATGGCACCTTGGCTGGTCTCATTCAAATAAACAAAGCAGCTGCGTTTTTTCACTCAGGGCTAAAGTAGGTCTATAGCACAGCTTTACTGTTAAGCTGAGACTGTTTTCACAGAGCCACAACACCTTGTAGTGAGGAGGTCAGGGTGGATGGACGAGTCAACGAAGCATGTGACTTTGACATAAGAGACCGCTGTTCGTTTCCCACCTCCTGCAGACAGTCCACATTGGTTTCTTCCACTGACGTGGTAGTTCTTCATTGGTTTCTTCCATGACCATGATCTTTCCTGGAGCAAGACTGACCCAGCAGATGTAATGGCTGACACGTACAAAGAAACTATAGTACAGAAATGACAAAGATCTGTTACTTAGAAACAGTGTCTCCATTACTGTGCATGGTTTGTCCACCAGATAGCACTGTTCATTAAAAGTTTATTTTTATATTGTAAAATGTTTCATTCAGTACGTATTTTGGTTACAATTTTTAAAAACATTTTTTGTTTTTGTAAATCTGCTGATGTAACACTATAAGATTTTCTATATTCTCTCATATAGTTTCTCAATACCCATATTGGTATCAGCCTCAAACATGTAACCTTTTAAATGTTTTAGTGTCTGAACCAAACCATAACCAGATGGCAGATGTGTCAGTCATATTAGTCTGTTTTTAATGGTCAAATAATTAATGGTAAATGTACTTAAAGTATCAAAAGTACTGTACTACAACTAGACACTTGTTTTTGTAAGGGGTCACAAGACAAAAAGGTGGGATACAGCTGGTTTCATTAATTGTAATATATTAGTATTATTTCAACATCTCGATCTGAAATGTAATGAAGGGGAAGTAGAATAAAATGGACATACTTTAAAATTGTACTAAAAAACAGTACTTGAGGTAATGCACATAGTTACTTTCCACACCTGGCCATAGCTACCATTGGACACACTGAGGCTGGTATTTCTTTTATTTGATTTTGACAGCCTGGGTGGGGTTACCTTTGACAACTTTAATCAATCAAATAAGGGGTTCAGTATTTCTCCACCAAAACTGTGTTCCTGACAGTGTGGAGAAGGCTTTGAAACTTCTCATGTGGAAATAGGATTTAGAGAAAGTATCTACTAACTTAACACTTTATATAGGGCAATTGCAGGTTTGGGGGACTATAGTACTCATGATCACAGTATTTCTATCCTGGCCTCAGCCCTGTACATTCCTTTCTTTCTCTTAAGGACACGGACAGCGTTCGAGGCCAAGCTTCAGAAGAGCAGCCGGGCCACAGACTTTCGCGTGCCGCAGTCCATCTGCACCATGTTCAACGTCATGGTGGATGCCAAAGCCCAGTCAGCCAAGCTGTGTGCCATGGACCTGGGGCAGGAGGTAGACAACACCCAATGTGTCTTGGAAACTCATTTTCTTTAAAAGAGTAGGAGCCCTGATTTGGGGCAAATCAGGCCGTAGACTCATAGACATCATACAGTTTCCTTGTTTAAATCGTTTAAAGGTCATCAAGTTTCGGAGCTGAATGAAAATAAATTGTGTGTGTGTGTGTAAATTCCCTTGACATATATCTTTTTTTGTTATTCTTTATTACTTGAATGCAGCTATCTTTCCCCCTTTGTTTCTTATTTCTTTTACAGTATTCACATAATTTTACATGTGCCACGTCACCTCCATCTTTCTGCTTTTTTTCTCTTCTGTCTTGTGAAAGTTTGTTAGAGGCTGGGTAAGTGTGGCTATGAATTCAATTGAAATCTCACCATCCAGTTCCCAAATGTATAATTAGTCATCACTTTTTCCTGTCTGTCTTCCTCCCCTTGAATTGTTTGGATTTCATTAGCATATGTGTAGATATGATTGAATATACATGGGGTAGAAGTGAGAGATCTCATGTTTCGCAGAATCTCGAGATTGATACCAATTAATGACGGTGAATTCATTATTGCGAAGTCCTTCACTGTTCTACAAGGCTAAACAAAAGGAGTCCTCAAAGTGATACTGCCTCTGAGTTTCCATGACAGCAGTTATTTAACAGAAATAATCATTCCAAAGTCCTTCGCTGGGCTCTGCTTTATGGGAAAACCTCAGGTGTCTTGAAAATGGTTATAAAGCACTTCATTAATTTACATACAACTAAAAACAAACAAACAAACAAATGCATCAATAAGAGAATGATTAAAAATCAAACAAAAATGTTTTAAAAGAAAAAACAAGAAATACATGATGGATTCATTCTTTATTCTGCATCTACATTTAGCAATTGCAATTTTACATTATAATAGTGTGTGTTTGTTCACCTAAATGTCTCTCCTTCAAACTCCCTAATCCTTACATCCTACAGCATATTGCTGAAATCCCAAAACCTAATATCTTTAATTCTGGTGTTTCATTTGGGATTCAGTTACTGTGGTCAAATGCTATTTGATTCATTACATACAGTATTTAAGTAGTGTACAATTGAAGAAGTGAACGCAGTTTATACTGTATGTACTAGGGCAGATTCTACTAATCTGACAGATTTTAATTTTTGACTGAAGGCTGTGGTCACTTCATTTCAAAATGTTTGGGGCTACAGAGTCCCTGAAGTGCCAAAAAAGTTTTAAATATTTTATAAGACAAAGATTTCAGCAAATGAAAAGCTATTATATTGTGGGTACAAGCCAATATAATGTGGTAACAAATCTACTGAAACCAGTGCCTCTGTTTAATCAAATTCCTTCTGTCACTGTTGTCTTTTATGTATCTATGTGCATGATGATATGCAAAATGTATAGTAAAGAAGAACATTAATATTTAGCACAGTATCTTGTGCATGCACTTACTTTGCCCCACAAGAAACAATTAAAGCTGCAACCATTAGGTGGTGCTATGAGTTTGAGTGAATACTGGCGAATGATCGATTTTCAACGCCATATCACAGACACGCCCATCGACAAAATATCACAACTTTTCATCGTCAATGCCTAAAGATTGAACAGTAAAATTTTTAAGTCAATCTGAAGAATTCCCTGTGAGGAGTTTGTTAAAGTACAGACCCTGTAAAAAATTACCATTAAATTCAAAATGGCCGACTTCCTTGAGGCTTTTTTGTAGGTCTGAACATGATATATCTGCCACAAAAATATTCTACTATTTGGTGAAACGTGGCCTGGGGGCTGGTTTTTAGGCGGCACTAGCGAGCCATTTTGCCACGCCCATGCACAACAACCATATGCTACGTAAAATTCCACCACGTTTGAATTTTGTGCAAAGTTTGGGGAATTTTTGCCATATTTAGGCAGCTTTGGATGGGCCCTTGAGCTGTGATGCACGCCAGAGGGTGACGCTTCAGAGGGTGACGCGGCTGCAGCGCTGTGGCCGGAGGTCGAGAGACCCTGATAGGAATTATCGCGCGTTTTGGACCAATCACGAAGAAGTTAATTGTTGCACTTCTTGTGTTGTGAAATGCAGTTTGGTTAGGTTTAGGCATAGAAAGTACTTGGTTGGATTTAGGCAACAAAATTAAGGTTAGGAAAAGATCATGGTTTGGGTTAAAATACGTACGCCAGTTAAGGCTTAAGTTAACTAACATCACTTACGTCAATTTACGTAACTTGCCTAAATTTAATGTTGACTTTTTTTTTTCACACTGGACACGAACCCCGGTCTCCTGGTTCAAAGTCCGGGCTCTGGCCCTCCATCCACCCCTACCACCTCCTTACTCAGTCTTTTCTGTTAATATATCTTATATTATATCATATACCTACCTTTACCGTCAAAAACTGGATTCCCAGTGAGTCAGAAACTGACGACCTTGGCTCTAGACCGTGCGTCTGACTTGTGACGACTTGGAAGTGAGAACGGGTATTATGTGAAGCTAGAGAACACCCGCTAATTATATATTGTGTACCAGTACATGTAGTGTGGATGACAGTGTGAAGATGCCATGTAAATTAATAAATTTTTGTCAGAAATGGCTTACTTCCTTTTGCCAGTAGGTGGCGTTATGACATTGAGTGAATATTGGCATCTAGATGTCTTCATGGCAAGACTATTATGAAACCTGTAAAGATTGGTACAGGTCTGAGCTTGTACGCTGATGTTAAGGCTGAACGATTTGGGGGAAAAAATCTAATTGATATTTTTTTGCCTGATATTGCGATTACGATTCAAGCTAAAGTTCAGTATTCACTGCCAATTTATTTTTTATGGAACCCGCATCAAACCAGACAGGAAGTCGAAGAGGGAACCATGGTGGAAGCACAAAAAGCAAGGACAACTGAACAAATCAACAAAATCAACACGTTTTAATTCTGAAATGCTTGTTGTGGATGTAGCTGAGCAGAGAATGGAGCGAAAGCAAAGCCAGCCGACAAAGCAACCTGCAAACGGCAAGCCGGCCAATCTACCAGCCAGATCAGCCCCGGGAATCTGGATGATTTAGCTGATGACTGACAGCTGACTAACTAGTGTTGCACACTGTTGCCATTGTACGTGAGCGAAAGCGAAGGCACTTGGGAGCGCGCATAAACGTCACATCCATTGGATTTTCCTGGAAAACAACCAGTCTTTTACATAGAAATCAGTCCACAGGATGTTTTAGGCAACCAAGAAAGTTGGGAAAGTCTCCTTTTTTAAGTTATTTTACAATCCGTTCACACATTGGCAATACAAGTTTATAAACTAATTTATTTATGGAGAGCTTCACATTCTTACATATGGTACCTTTAATCCAGTACAAATTAATATAAATTCAAATATGAAAAAACTGTCCATTGTTTGCCTTTAATGTCACTTCATGATGGGGTAATTATGTGTGAATGAAAAGAGTAACATGATTTTTTTTCTTCCTCTGTAGAGACAATACCATTCCCAAATTGACAATCTAATTGAAGAGACGGTGAAGGAGATGATTACTCTGCTGGTAGCTAAGGTAAAAAATAATGCAGTATAAATATACACCATGGATTGATTACAGGTCAAGGAACCCCTGGGCCTATATCTCATTTAAAATGATTGTTTCTCTTTTTGGAAAGTTAATCAAATGACCACAAAATGACATCAAAGAGACTCAAACCTACCACAAACACCCTCAAAATTACTGCAAAATAGATTACTGCTTACAGGTTAATGCATTCATAATTAAACACATTAATTTAACACTGTTCACAAATGTAATATTTTATTTTTTGCTATCAGAACTTTCCTTTTGATACTAAAGTACAGTTTACCGCTAACTCCTAACTTTTAAAAGACTTCTTGCTACAAGCAATGTAATCACACTGCTGCTTTCTTTTCTCTTTCTCTCTCTCCTCTTTCTCAGTTTGTGGTCATTCTAGAGAGTGTGTTAGCGAAGCTCTCCAGATATGACGAGGGAACACTCTTCTCTTCCTTCCTATCTTTCACAGTAAGTAGCACACATACTTCCATCCCCATCCAGTGGCGTCGCTCATATATGATATAATAATGCAATAGCCACAAAAAGGCTAACTAACACTAAAATAAGGGTGTCTGCATAGCGTGTTTCTCTGGCAGAAGAGCACTTGGGAGTGCTGGGATGAAGCACAATGCTTAAATTTAATGATAACTCAATCATGCTTCTTTTAAAAATACTTTTTACTTTATTTAATGCAGTGTGCTAAAGACATGGCACCATCATAACCATTACATGACACATGTCATGACCATGAACCATGGTCATTTGCTCAATTATGTCATTTTAAATGCAAAGTTTGTTACAATAACTTGACATTAATCAAGACAACATAACCTGTCATAATGTTAACGTATAAAAAAACGTAGTGTCTTTAAGTTTGATAATTGGCCCTGCTATGCTATGCATGTTCATGGCAGGAGTCATGTCATGGTTGTGATGTGTCATGTCAGTCTGCCCCACTTCCCTTAAAGATTTACCAAACCTGTTTGGTTTTTCACCTACATGCCAGTTTGAATGCAGTTTGACCTTTTTTGAATTCTTCCTAAGGACCAAATAGCTTAACACCTCAGCTGGTTCCCCACAGTATTACAAAAGCCCAAGTTATTGAATTTGTGAGTGCACTTTTGCAGCTGAAATCACCACATGAGTCACTGTTGCTGTTCAGCAGGCACTAAACTACAGGCTGTACAGTCTCACCACAGCAACATGTGTTCTGAAAAGTGGTGCCACAGCTGGAGTCCTGACTGTTTTTTCACCTACTTCTCTCTCCTTTGTGTCAAGGTGAAAGCTGCCTCAAAGTACGTGGATGTACCTGTAAGTGAGACTTTTTTTAATATGTGTTTTAAATGCCTTAATCATCTCATTAATAACATGTTCTACATCTGACGTGTGATTAGATTTTTTAAAACACTACTGAAAATATACATACTCATACGAGGGCTGTCCCCGACTAACGATTTACATAGTTGATTCAGAATTGTCAAGTCTTGCCTATAGTCGACCGATAGTCAAATGTGGAATGTGTGTTTGTGTGGCGGTAAAAAATTATCCTAGAGATGTCCACTAGCGGGAACTACCTCAGAAGCAGTTTTGAGTACTTGCCAGGTGTTTATATGTCTGTCTCTCTGTCTGTGGACACCTTAGCCAGCACTGCTAAATGTATTGGATCATAACAAAAACTGTTAGTGAGCTGGACTGAGAGACATAACAGTTAGACCACAGTAAGTAACATTACTGTAGTGAACGGGTCTTCCACTGTGGCGTTATGTTGCATTATTGCCTTGAATCACTATAGGCCAGTAAAAACAAGTATCTCCACACTTGCTTTGTACATCATGTCTTGCAGGCTAAATCAACACTTTGACATAACACCGGACACAGAATAGTAATATGGTTTGCGTTAGCTGGTGAAGTACCGGATAACGTTAGCAACTGCTGCGTTAGCCGGCAAGCTAACAGGATCTAACTTGAGCCAACTAAAACACAAAATCACAATATATTTCACATACTTTGCAGGAATGTTAGTTTATCTGGTCAATAGGATGAAAGCCAGCTCTGGGTTGGTTTTGTTGGATCCAAAACAAAGTGGAGGTCTCTCTATGAGTCAAGCCTTTGCGATGCTGAATGTGTTTTCACCCGAAGGCGATTTAATTCTCGTTGGGCCTGAAGTGCTTCAGCTTGTGTAGGAGTGTGTGTTGTGCTGGGAACCGGTTGTTTTAGTGGACTCTCATTAGCTGTGATGTTGTTGCAATGTGTACGGTGCAGAATCATAAGGCAAGAGACTCGGCATGCCCGATATATATCACAGCCAACAGATTTCCCGGAAAATCCGACCAAGAGTCAAAGGAATAGGCATGCTGGCCACCAGAGGTAACAGAAAAACCCTGGAAAGTGGATCGTTTTTATGTGAGGTTACAACCCCTTCACACACAGGCAATAAAAAAGTGATTCATGTCAGTAAAAACAAAAAATGCATATAGCCCCTTTAAATTACTCAAACATTTATATTTTTAAATTTTCTATACTGCACCTTCTTTTTATTTATTAACTGACTCCAATCCCAATATATCTGAGATAAGCTAATAATGGAAAATATATCAGTAATGTAAACATCAGTGTGTTTGTTTACAAGAAATCTTTACACGTTACCCTTTAATACCAGGTGTAAATGGGGTATGAATGTTCACAGATAAGTTGGAAAAGAATATTTTGTGTTGGCAGTGAGACGGTTTAAAGATCCCATCTATATAAATGCTTAAAATTGATTTTAAAATGGAATACTGGCAATTAAAACACAGATAGATACAAAATGTACTAATGCAAATTAGTTATATATGAAAATCATTTTGAGGAGACAGTTGCAATAAAATAAGCAATTGATCCTGTAAATTGGTGAATTTAATGGCTCGATTTTGATTTATTGTGCAAACTAAATATAATTTAAATTCACTTGTGCTCAAACCTCTTAATAATTCATGTGAAATTAAACAACAACAATAGCATTTTGTTTCCTAGTGATGTGTCAGTGTTTGTGTGTGTTTTTTGTGCATGTACAAATATTTGACCATGCTTTCACATGTAGTATCATAAACCAGATGGTATTGGTTGCTGTATTTCCACATGAAATATCCCCGTGTTTCCTCCCCCCCAAATGTCCATTCATATGCATGTGGCCAGACACTGACAAGCAGCCATGCCTCGTGCCTCTCTCTGTGCAGTACACATTGAGTCCATGTTGTACAACACATGACCATTCTGCTGTCAGGGTGGCGTCGGCGGCGGTGGTGTGTTTGTGTGTGTGTGGGTGTGTGTATGTGTGTGTGCGCATCAGATCTGTATTAGCTGCCAACACTTCGGCCGTAGCAACACGGCAAATTTCAAATTAATGCCTTGTCAGTGAATGTGACGAGGCACTGTGTACGCTGGCAGAGGTCGCAGTTTCCAGCCCACTACGCTAATTGTGTCCTTAAAGTACTAAATTAGAGTTTCACTGGTAAAAAAGACACTCATTTGCACATTCTAAGGGTCATTGCAGATGTGTTCACTAAGTTTAGTGGCGTTGAGTTCTTTGCATGACTTTTGGGATTTGTATTAGTTGGAGAAAAGATTCAGAAGCGAAGGCCGAAAGGTTTAAAGATTGTTATCTTGAAAATGGTAAGATATGTTGATGTAAGAACTAAGTTGCCATATACAAATGCATTATCCTCAGTGAATATTTTAGATGTCAGAATGGCAGGCCTCCTAACAATCTGCTCTCCTCATCAAAACCAACTCAGTGTCTCCAATGCCCCTGCACATGCCCAGACTGTGAAAGTTGTTTCTTGCCAAGCTCAACTCTCTGACGAGAGCTAACTGAAGAACATGAATGCCCTGTTAGTCCAGAGTCTGCATCATTCTCCAAATGATAACGGAAACATCTCAGTTTGAATGTTAATATAATTTCCATCAATTTGTCACCTGATGTTCCTAATATCAAGAGTAGAGTCACCAGCCATGCGGGCCACTCTATGAGGCTATACTTAGGCACAGCAGTGCTTTGAGTTAATTACTAACATCAGCATGCTAAAATGCACACAGTGACAATGCAAAGATGCAGATGTTAATTATTTTAGTCCATCTTACTTCTTTAGCTTGCTGGTGTACTTACAAATTCCATGGCAATCCATCTAATAGTTGTCAAAAACCTTAAATATCAACCTCAAGGTGGTGCCTAAATGAAAAGTCAGGGCATCTTTAAAGTCAGTAGGATTCACTCTCTGGGCAAATTTCATGCCAGTCCATTCAGTACTTGAGTCAAAAAGACAATAAGCTCAAAATATCTAAAGCAAAATTTCATCTACACGTCAGAAACATACTCATTGAATATATAATTATACTATACAGCATCTGAACAACAACACATGTGACAGTAATTCACAAAGCATTTTTGATAAGAATGAAACATGATATTTACCACTTAACCTCCACTTAAGTAGTTGGCTGGAAATAATCTTTTCTGACAGTATCTTATATATTCTGCATCAAATTATTCAACCCACTAATTTGGGTTTTTATGGCTGAACTATTTCATCAAATGAAAATATTCTACATATCTTATAGATAACATATTTGGTATCTTTGGAAAGTTTTGCATCTCTACAAGGATTTAAAAGGCTTTGAGCAATGTGTTCATACTGAATTGACTGACCAGTAATTGGGTTAACTTTATCCACTTTGAAGTGATTTACCATATGTTTTTTTTTTGGGGGGGGGGTTATTCTATCTTTCTATTTTTGTATGCATTTTCCATCTTTCTCTCTTTTCGTTGCAGAAGCCAGGGATGGATGTGGCTGACGGTTATGTGACATTTGTTCGCCATTCCCAGGACATGCTGCGGGAGAAGGTCAATGAAGAGGTGTACATAGAGAGATTATTTGATGTAAGTAAGCCACCTCCTCCTCCATCAAAGGGAGGCTTAACAATAACAGGGTTTTATTCACGCCACCTGTGATCATTTGTGAGATTTCTAAAAATCCATATGAGTAGAGTGAACAAAATTCAAATGCTCCGTATAGCGCCTTTCTAGTTTTTCACTCAAAGCTTTTACACTACATCCACACACACTAAGTGCTCAAACAGAAACTAACATTCAATATACTATAGCAGAACAGCCATCAGAGGCAATTTAGGATTCAGTATCTTGCCCAAGGACACTTTGACATGCAGCCTGGGGGAGTTGGGAACTGAACCACCAACCTGCTGATTAACTGCCAACCCGCTCTACCACCTGAGCCACAGCTTCCCCAAAGTGATAACAGTCATGTGATAACTGATGGACATTTTCTCTATATACATGTGAGCTTTAATCTGAATGGCGTGAAACAGCCAGAGTTCAGAGTACTTTTTGTCATTTTCAGTTCAGTTTTCAGACAGTTCTGAATATACTAATAATAATAATAATAATAATAATAATAATAATAATAATAATAATAATAATATGGTTATGGATATTTATGATTACTTTACATTTAACACTCCATAATAATAACTGATTTTCCAAACGCATGTACCATTATTGTTGACATTGGTAAATAGTTTGAACCAGATCTTGCAGGGTCACTCCCTGTCATTTTCAGCTGGCATAGAAAACAAATCAAAGGGTGTTCCACTCACTAGTTTCATGTAAAGGTAAATATGGTGTGTAAAACATTTAGGGAATAAGGGGGCAACAGCATGAGTCACTATGACATTGTCATTAGAATGTCCTCACCAGACAAATTACTGCATTGGTTGTTTGTGCAAATACCTAAACTATTTACATTTTCAGTGCTGGTTTCTTTTTATCAAGACCACAATCTTTCCATAACCTTAATCAAGTAGATTCACTTGTCTTAACCAGACGTTAACCATAGAGGTGGCAGATCAGAAAACAATCACATGGGTTGTTTTAGAAGACAATGACAAACTTTTATGCTCTTTAGTTAGGGGGACAAGGCCATTTCCAACACTTAATGTAAGTTACATCACAGTAACTACTAACAGTAAAATGAAATAATCCCAAAAAAGTTGTCCTGATTTTTTTTTTGACTGGTTCTGATAACCAAATGGAATATTGGAATATTAGATGGTGTTTGCATATTTTATAACTGAATTCTGCTGTATTTGGTATCTTTGGGAACCCTTTGCCACAATGCAAAATAAAATTGGGTTTGTTATGATTTTATTAGGACTCGCAGGTGAGTCTGGCAAGTTGAAACATGTTAATACTGCTTTTACTACCAAACTTATTAGTACATTCCTTCCCTACTTCTTGTGTCATCTCATGCAGAGTCATGTCTTTTTGGGCTCTTGCGAGTCACCTTGTGAAGCTGACTGTACTGACACATCAGTGTCCTTCTCCATAGCTGACAAACTGTAATCAACTCGAGCTGCAATCAACTTGAAAAACAGTCCCATGACACTGTTTGCCTCCATTACATGAGATGAGGTCAAGTAACACCAAAACAATCAGTAAATCTCTAAGCCTCGCTGCTGAGCCTCCTCTTAGGTCAAACTGGAGGATTTCTCCCCAAAATATGTTACACCAATCCCTGCAGCGGGATGAGTTACACATTGAGCTGCAGCTCCCTGCTTCTCTTTTCAAAGTTGGACATATTTCTACGCCGCCGTTTACTCCTTTGTCTCATGGTGTTTGTGTGCCGTTTGTGTTGATCTTGAGGAGGGATTATCCTAAGCGGTTCTCTCTGTCTGAATCAGCTAACAGTTACTCAATTGAAAAAGGGGCACAAAAGATCATTTTGTAAAGTCGCTTAGCTATCCACCACAAATTCTGTACACACTTTCTTTTCGAGGACTTACAGACAGCTCATCTCACCTGCTACTGTATTTTTAAAAGAATCGCTATAACTCTGTGGTTAGTGACTTGTGTATTCACTCAGTGAAAAGACAGAGCTGGTACAGTACATTTGAGGGATAACTAAATCTGTACGTCATAAGGTGGTAAAAGTGCAATTTACAAACCTTGCCAGGAATGTTTTTTTGTTTTTTGGAAACTTGATGCACATTGATCTAAATATGCAATCATATCTTGTAACAATCCACAAATCAGAGCTCACTGCTTCATTCTCTTGTCAGGCCTATCACTATTTTAGAAGTACAGGTCCCAGATTTCCTACAGTGTTTAGGCCACCATCTAGTATATAAACTGATCATGAAAGAGGATGCATCAGGATCTGTCTGGCTAACCCCCTCAACTAAGTAATTTCCTTGGGGACACCATGCTATGCGGTAAGGATACTGTCAGTACAGTAATCTGGAATCAAAGATTACTGAGTAATCTTAATCTATGTGACTAATTGGGATGATATTTTTTAATTGGTCAATATTGAATGAATGAACAATTTAAAAAAAATATTGTCTCAATTAGTCACATAAACACAAAAACATGGGAAAATGTGGTTCCAGCCATTGGTTTGGGCTGTTGTGAATATGCTTCAAGTTAATTGCTTTTATCTGGGAACATAGCACCATTGCTTAAAATAACTCAGATGCTTCAAGAAACGTGAATATCCAAATAAGATGGTTTAGATAATCGGGATAAACTGTTTGCTTGTTTAGAACATGTTATATTGTCAAACTTTGTTATGACGTCATCGTGTTGACAGATCTCAGCAATGAACTTGAATATGCACGATCAATAAAAATGAAGGCTATGAAAATAAGGCCTAGGTGGAATAAACCAGAATTTTCCTTTATTTGATTAATAAGATAATATCATAAATAATAGAGTGCTTAAACAATTAGCTGCAGTTTTAATGGTTTTAATTAAGGCTTAAAGGTTGATGAGCTGAAACGGACATGGAGAACATCCATGTAACTGTCACTCTCACTGTGTGAGCGTGTTCATGGTTGACTTTCTGCAGACTGAACAGTGTAGGCATGTATGCAGTTGCATCTATCTGCCCGTGCCATTGTGTTGAATTGAGGCCTTGAGGTGTAATCCGTCTCCTATCCTCTTCCTCTCTGTTTGTCCTGACAGGGGGTGACAGAGAGGTGCATAGTGCTGGATGTTTGCTGTTTGTTGCTACATCTTGACCCGCTGCTCTGCCATGTATCCTCTTTTCCTCTACAAGAGCATTTCTGCTGGGATTTGTCTCATCCGAGCTTTTCTTTGTTGTCATTCTGTATCAGTTCTCCCCGCGGCGTCACTGAGGCCGATGAAGGTGTCTCTAGCTGCTCTCTGAAGCTCTGATGTGCTTTTCTTGTCACTTCACCCTTTTTTTATCTACTCGTTTCTCTTTCTTGTCTATTTATCTGGTTAAGGATGGCAGCACGCAAGTTGGAACATTAGAGCTGGAGTATAAAAGATTTTTTTTTTGTTGTTTGTGGTGATTTTTTATTATTTATGTTTATATAAAACCAAGCTACAGTGTGCTAATTAGCACATAGTGTGATACACTATGTGCTAAGGAAGATTTTACAGTGCAAATATCCTACTACAAGGACACAAAAATGCTGACCCTAAGCTGGCCCCGGGCCAACAACATCTTATCATCATAGATAAGTCTCTCTCATCTACACGTAAACACTGGAAGGTAGGGCACAATGTCTCTCTAAAGGGGTATTCATAGGACCTCAAGTGTGCCGCTTTGACTCCCAGGGGGAGACTGGGACCCAAGTCACAAGTCAGAGGAGCACAGGTGGATGCCTTACCATCAGCTGAAGTGAAAAACTTCTGGATGGATAAATAAGAGTGACCCTGAGGCAAGCTGTTTTAGTGCTATGTTTCTTATAAAAGCCAGATTGGTATTTTGGTGGTTTTCCACCTACGCTCTGCTTGTCTACATTCTCTTTTCACAGAGCTAATGTCCTAATTTATCCAGGTAGATGTTCAATAAATGTTTGATTTTATTCACTTGAATCATACACAAATTAGCTTTCATTTAATTTTGCTCATGCATATTTGTTAACAAAGATTTTATCATAATTGTTTTGAATTTTGTACCTCGCATCTGTGAAGTGATCCACTGTTTGAAATCAAGTGTTGACCATAAAGAAGAGTTTAAACCACAATTAACCATTCACCATCTCTCAGGAGAAAAAATCAGCCTTTAAACTCGAAAGAAATGACGATTTGATACTTATCATGATAATTATCGATATTGAAAGATATGAAACTTTTTACCGTGGTAATATTTTTGGCCATATCATCCAGCCCTACCATGACATCAATATGTTGTGGTGACCCATTTTGATGTAGAACAGTTAAAGTGGAAGAAAATGTGGTTATAGACTGACTGTTGATGAAGCAAGATTTTATAGTGCTGTTGTGGATTAAAAAGGTAGGGTGTATCAAAGTATCAAACATAAAAAGTTTATGGTATGAGATTAAATTATTGAATTTTGGTCATCTACATGAAAATTAAAAACCACCAACCATAATCCCTTTGTCGTACTTCAACACATCACACATCAACACGTCCACATCAACAATAAAATCAGAGAGCTCAGATAAAAATGACTGTTCAGTTTTGGTGGACGATATATGGTAATGTAACATACAGGATCAGTAAAGCAGATATTACACATGAGGTCCTCAAAGCTGGTCATTCTTTTGACATTAGGAAAAGAGCATTTAAAATGTTTTTTTTAAAGTAGCGGCTAGGCCACCACCACGGTCACTCTGTGTACTCTCCTTTGCTCAGCCAGGTTTCAGTAAAGAAAAAGATTTAATTTCTGGGACAAAAATAAGTCATTTTAAGACAAACGTCTTATTAGATAGGGACCAAACATTTAATAGACCAAATCTGCGGAGTTTAATGTCAGGAATGTTGTTCGAGATTGGACCTATAACCAGATTACTATGTTTTACATACTGTAGTATAGCGTTTGTGTGGTCTGTTATGGATTACAATTGGGATGGTGGTGAGGCTCTCTGAA